TTGTGTACGGTGCCACTTAAAAGAGTTCACTTATAATTACAATACGTACTTAACTATACAAACGAATTGAAAGTGTAAATGAATGCTTAAAAGGCAATAAGAAAACTCTATACATTTTCATTAGAAAACACCGCCATATGTAACTTGCGGTATTTTATTTCCATTAGAGTGTCTCGAATAGTGTTCATATTAAGTTGATATCATATTTGCCCCTACGGAGACGTCCAAAGGGCCGTTGAGTCACTTTTTTTGCCCATGGGTATGCCTGGACAACAGAGCGTCTAAAATCTCGTGGGCATTGCATTCATTCGTCAACATGAATGACTTCTCGCCAATCGTATTATAGAATAAAAAATCACCTTTCCCCCTATCGTATGCCTTCATAGACCATACATACATTCACGCATTCCATATTGGGACCAGACATTATCCTAGTTGCCCCACTTTTCATCATCATCATAAATATACAGGCGTCCTTCATATAACACGTTACTGGGTAGTAAAACAGTGTTTTCTTATAAGTCGAAAGGAGAGAAGAGAGGAGAGAAGTTTCAATGGCTTAGCTGTAATTTTTGAATAAATAACAAAGTTTCATATAACACGGTTTCGAAATGGCTCGGTACGAACTAACTCTGTTATATGAGAAACACTGCAACCTACCTCCGCCTTAAGGCGCAGCAATTGTAAGCAATTTTCCTTACTGTCTTACTGATAAATCTTTAGCAGTAAGTATAAATCAACAAAGCTATTGAAGGCCTTGTAACGGGTAGTAATAGAATAATAGAATATTACATAAGGTAAGATTAGATATGGCGGCAGTCTGCACTGAAGCACGCCTTGTGCTAATTAATTCGGCCTGATTCGGTAAAAGCTCTATAATGTGGGATGGAGATCACCGATTTTTCCTATTATCAAAAAAAAATCTTTGTGTCGCATTGGCGTTGTGGTCGTTGTAGGCGCGTCCTTCAAAAATTTTAAATCGCTTTCAAATTCTTTTGCAAAATATGTTGGCGATATATTTTATTTCGCTAACGGGAGAACGTTTACTGCAAATACTACACAGACGAGTAGAGGAACAGGCGGCCAAACCCTTATGGGGTTTATGAAGCTTGTTTTTGAACTTTATAAAGGTATTAAAAAAAAAAATTAAATGTTGATATCCTATAATATCGGGTAGGCGTGGGCAATTTTTTCCATTTTTATACAGGTACGTAGGTATAGGTATGCGTTCAAATTTTTGTTTATGAGTAAGGAAAAAAAACCAATTCTTATTGTGTTTGAAGAAGGGAGGTACTGTGGGCGTGCCCTTCGACCGATTGGACCATTTTCAATACCAACCTACATGCAATGTCTTCCAATGTCTCTGCCAAATTTGAAGTCGATATCTCTATTCTTGCGGCCAGCGGACGGCCAGGCGGAAATATCTAAATCTATTCAAGATATGGTGCTGATCAGGAATATATATACATTTTGGAATATACCCCTCACCCTTCGGTGATGGGGGAATAAAAAAATATATATATAAAAAAAATAAAGTAAGAAAATTATATTCGTCTCTCATCGAAATTTTCGCATCTCGCATCTTTTCTTTTTTAAAGACTAAAAAGAACGAGAAAACTAATTTTCCGTACTCTGCAACGTTGAGTGGGCGTGGCTGATTTTTTGCAGAATATACGTGGAAATTAATGGAATTTGTGAGTAATGAGTAAAACGCCCAACAACAAAGTCGCGTTGAGATTATGTTGCATTGTAGGCATTGTGGTGTTGGACCCTAAATCCAACACCAAACTGAAGAAATAATAATCAAATTCAATCGCAATCATTTAGTTTAAGTTTGCGATCATGTAATTAGTTTTTGAAGCACTCCAACGATACAATGATATAACAATAATGTACACATTGACTAACTTAACAAATGGATGTGAATGTACCGAGACTTTTACCCTCTAATAACAAAAGAAAAAAAAAAAATGTACACAATAAAGCTCTTAAACAATTTACACTAAAAAGGAAAATTGAGAAGTAAACCAATAGCATAAGCCAACGTTAAACGGATATAAGTTCATGTGCGTGATAAAAGGGCAGTGGGAGGAAATGTAGAAAAAATGAAAAAAAAACCCCACATGATATTATATTTTATGCAAAATATCGTATTATTAAAGCCACTCATAGTACGTGTCTATACATCGATGAATAATCGCATTCATGGCAACGTTCCTGTACCCTACAGAGGAGGTTTACCCTACATCCCAACTTGTTGCACAAGGATGTATTAAGTTTGAGTGGATATATGCAATAGATAACAGGACTTGGGAAGGATTCACCTTTTATCATCACATCAAACGATTATGAGTTTGTCTGTCCCGCTGTCCACCTAGCTCTCTTAGGTTGAATCTGCAGGGCGCATTTTTCGAACCATGATTCGGATCAAACTATTTCAGAAAATAATTCCGAGACAATTGATACAATAGAAGGTGTGTTAAGCCCTTCTGGGTGTAACATGAGCGACAGATGACTCGTTGAGTTGGGCAAAAAATATTTGAAGGAAAAAAGTATTAGAACCTCTGCAGGGTTGCCATATATCGAAATGTAGTGAAAATCCGATAATTTTTTTTGATATTGTCGACATTTGCGACTTCTTTTCGGAAACATCTCTTAAAAAGCGTCCATTTATAGAAAATTTAACAAAATTTCAAGTCAATCGATTGGGAATCGAAACAATCAAGCGGTGCGGTAGACTCGAAAAAAGGCTTTTTAATGTTTTAATTTTGAAAATACATTTTTGTTTCATCTCTGTTATTCGGGCCTGATGGATATTTATTTGAAATCTTGTTATCTTGGTGGTAACTTGTGAAGTTATTTGGAAAATAAACTTTGCGGATACTTTTCAGATTTGACTTCACTTTCCGCAATTCTCTATTACTATATCCTACACTACTCTTGTTTGAGGAAGTTTGCGCGGCGGCCACAGCTACTTGAGTGCGTATGCACTTTTTGTTATATCCATCGATTCTGAATCACTTTCCGCCTCGACCTAAGCTTGTCTGTCCATTTTATATTTCTCCAGGCATGTTTGCGTTCCAGCTACAATTCAATGCAATTTTTAAGATATTTTGATGACATTCGTTACACTAACCCGTTCTCGTCCAAGGATGAACGATCTTGAATACAGCTCGTATCGCTTTTTTTTGAAAAGTCACCAGATCAGAACGTAGCGTAATTTTTAAAATTTGGCTTAATAATAGTATTTCGGCATTATATATTGGTGTGGAAAATTTGGTCCGGATTGAGCAAATTTTTGAACCCTTTGCCCCATAATCATTATTACAAAACTTGCATCTTTATATGGTAAGCTAAGGTAAGATATAGGTTTCAATATTTCATATGTGAATAGTGATTCATAATAATCTTTTGACATAAAAATTAATCTAATCGAATTTGGACCACGTCGGCCTATTTTTCGGATCTTAACTCGTACAAGTATTCTAATGAAAAATAAACCTTTGCTAGCAAAAAAGTTCGAATTTTTAATATTTCATGATGAAAATTTGTGCTTAGTAGTAAATTGACCAAAAGGAATTTGGATCATATAGATCTATTTTTCAGATCGCATTTTATGTATATAGGAATTCTCACAGAAGCAACCCGTTATGATTCCTGCTTTTTTACAACTGAAAAACATGAAATTTTTGTTAAAATGAATATAAACATGTATATGTATATTTATATATAAATATATGGTTTTTTTTTTGTACACCATATCATATCACACATTTCAAGTGTTGTGTTTTTATTGGATTGCATGTGTTGCTGCTGTCGATAAATTTTTATTAAATTTAAACAATATTCATTTGGAATTTATTAAAGAAAATGTTTCACACAACATATATATATACATTTATATATATATATATATATACTAACAACAATAATAATAGTAGTAGTAACTAATAATGAATTCTTTGTTTACTTTTTTTGCCTCGTTACCCTTGCCGTGCGGTTTTTTTTACTGATCTATGCGCGCCCTTCCCCCTTCCCATGACGGCCTGGCTGCCTGCTTGCCTGCCTGCCTGCCTGTCTCTACGCAATAGATTTTAAATAAGCAAAATAAGCAACAACAAGACAGAGTGTGTTCAAGCGTGCATTAACTAACAATAACAGTACATCAAATAATATGTAAAAAGGCAAAAAAAAAACGCAAATTCTTACTTTTCGTTAAATCCAATCAAACGTAAATGAAACAATACAAAAAACAACAAAATTTGCATACCCTTGCAAAAGACTTATTTAAAAAAAAAAAAAAAAACAAAATCCACAACTAATGCTGTAATCATGAACCAAGTTCAACCTAGCGTTTCCTTACAATTAATTTAACCCTACAGGAAAACGAGAAAAAAACAAAAAAAAAAAAACACCGAACTACAATACAATAATATAATAATAGCAAAGCGACATAATATTAATCCCCCATAAGCAATTAATCAGCAATTAAATTAATTGAAAAACTCTTCAACGAAACGAAGTAAGAAGAAGAAGAAGAATAAAATAAGGAAAATCAAATCAATTGAAAAAAGTACTTGCGGTCTTCATTCTTTTTTTTTACTTGTTTTTTTTTTTTTTTTCGTTTTTTGATACTTGAAAGCAAAAGATTCTTAAAATTCCAAATCAAGCTGGTGAGTAGTGTGCAAATCCTACATAATACATTATGCATTTATGAAATTGTATTTTTAGAAATTGCATTTAATAATTGAAAAACAAAAAATGTTAATTAAGAAACAAATCTCTCAATATATTTAAATTAGTTCACGACGCCCATCACCATCGAAAATGGCGCCAACAACGACCATCGAAACCATAACAATCACGCGACCTTTAAAGGTTTGTCTTTCAAAATAACTAAAGGGTCTCTCAAAATTTACGCAAGAAAAAACTAAATTCGTCCGGGCCCGAATCTTATGCAACCTTCATCACCCTTTACCCCAAAAAAAAAGACAAAAGAAGTAAAAAAAAAACAAAGCTCTCATGCTCTATAATATGGAGTGGGCGTAGTTGATTTCTTTTATTTTTAAAAGAAAAGTTTTTGTCGCATAGGTTTAGGCACATAGGGCATTATAGGCGTGTGCTTTGAAAAGTTTAGGTTAAATGCAAATTCTTTTGCAAATTTTTAGGCGATATGGGGGGATGTTTACCACAAATACTACAAAGTTGCGCAAACAGAAAGATGGACAGACGAACAGGCGGATATTCAAAATTTGAAACCGGCAAGAATTTGTATACTTTACGGGGTTTTTGAAGCTTGCTTCTTTTGGTCGTTATGAAGCTATTGCAACAATAATTCAAATTTGATACACTATAATATATTGGACAGACATGGTCACTTTTTTTTTAATTTTTGTATAAGTAGCACAACATCGCCCGTAGAAAATACGATCAAAATTTTATACATTTATCTGCCGTTATTTATGAGTAATAATAAGCACAAATTCCTTTTAAAAAACGGGGTGCTCTCAGTTTAGGTGATCCTGTAGGCAAGAACTTCAAATGTTGCTATCAAATTTGAAGTCGATGCCTTCGTATGGCTTATAAAAGACATTAGACGGATGGACAGACGGAAATCAATTTAAATCGATTCAGAATTTGATATTAAGCAAGAATATATATATTTTGCGGGGGGGGGCTCTGAAGCTTCTTTCATTCGTACCCTCATCTCTTGATGATAAGTAGATTGAATATAATGAGAATGTTACTGTGAATGTATGAGAGACTGGCATCGTAACGTGTTAGTTGTTAAGAAATGTGGTTGTTTTACATTTTCAACCCATATGTGTGTGGGGGCGGAAATTCCTGCATAAGACTATCTTTATGGAGACCGCTTTGTTTTATCCCCTTACGCAATGCATTGCAGCACAAATTGCGGCAAATTCGAATCATGCTTAAATTTTGGAACACCCTTTATCAATTTTTTCCTTTTAACTTTTTTTTTTTTTTTAATTAATTATGAAAATTAATTTTCTCATTTTAATAAAAAAAAAAAAAGGTTATTGCATTTATTTGTGGCGTAATCGTTGTCATATTAATGATAATGGCATTGGCTTCCACCGATTGGCTTATGGCAGAAAGTTGGCGTCAAGGTTTATTTGTTCATTGCATTGAAGAAGATGTCTTGCCACCGCTTCCATTTAATTTACATGATCCTCCAGGCTGTTATCCCAGCCGAGATGTTGGTAAGTCTTTCCTTTTTTTTATATTTTTTATTTTTTGAATAATTTGTATGTATGTATGTATTTTTAGCTTATATTAAAGCAACGGCGGCCCTTTGTATTATCACATTGATAACTGATTTCATAGCTACGACATTAACTGGTCTTGGCTTAAAATCGCAAAATCACAACTTAAAATATAAATATTATAGAATTGCAGTTTTAGTCATGTTACTATCCTGTAAGTAAATTTATAAACATAACATCTGCTATTTATTCATTTTTAATAATAATTTTAACAATTTTTTTTTTTCTATCGTTCTTAGTAATATCTGTACTATCAGCATTAATAATTTATCCTGTATGTTTTGCCGGTGAACTTAATCTGGGTAAGAATATATTTTAAAATATCACTGTTGTATTGTGTGACACTGATGGTATCGCTGACTGTCATTTTGCTTTATATTTTTCTATATTTAAAATTTGATTTTATTATATTGGAAAATGTCTTTTTTTCGGTAATTTATAGCAAACCGACCGGTTTGGGAATTTGGCTGGGCCTACGGTGTAGGTTGGGGCGCTGCCATATTCTTATTTGGAGCGGTTGTCCTTTTACTATGTGACAAAGAATCCGAAGAGATATATTATAAGGAAAGAAAAATAGTACATGAAAACCAAATGCGCGCCTAGGCCAGGCCGCACGACCTGCCTGACGTCGTTCTTTAGACATATAAGTATATATATTTCTTTTTGAATTAACACATAAATTAAAAAGAAAAACGAAAACAAAAACAAAAAAGAAAAATTTTATTTTAATATCCAAGAAAAAAAGAAAAAAAAAAAAACCTCCCACATTACATACAAAAACAAAAATAATTGAAAGAAAAAAGAACAAATTGTCATTAAACCTCATTCATCATGATCATTCTATTTCATCGTATAAATGCGTACCAAACTGTTATACATTTACATATATACACAGGTGTTTACATCTCTTTCTGATATAATCATAGATACACACGCGCACACAAACACAAAGACACAGACACACACACAGGGACACAAACATCCAAATGCAGATAAACTCATACATACATACATATATATACACAAATCACATATTTCTTCTTTTCCCTCTTTTTTCTTTAATTTTTGTTATTATTATTATTATTATTATTATTATTATTGTTTATTCTTATTTATTGCAGATTCGTTTTTCAAGCCTTAATTTAATTTAAAGAAGGAAACTTTTTAATTTTCAATTTAAATCCTTGATATAGAAATTTTATAATTTTTTTCTTATCATTTACGATTTCCTTTCATGTGTATTCTATTTTCTGGCCAAAAGAAAAAGCAGCAACAGCAACAAAAACAAAGACAACAGCAATTCGATAGTAAATGTATATGTATATGTAATAATAAATTAGATGAAAAAAAAAAAGAAAAAAGAAGACAAAAACATTTAAAAGCCATTAACTAGCAAATGCTTTCAATCTGTCTCCTTCTCTCTCTCTCTCTCCCTATCTATCTATCTCTCTTTCTCTATCTATCCATCTTGTGCTCGGTGTGTAGGTTTGTAAAACTTACTCTCAAAATTTTAATACTAATGGCATATATAGAATACATATAGGAAAGAATTTTGTTTATTAAAACATAATTAATATGAAGAAAATACGTACAATGCGTGCACAGATACTCATATACACGCACACACACATACACACACATACAAGACACAGACTCGGTACACAACAAATTATTAAACATTCAACAAGAAAAATGAAAGAAAAATCAAAAGAATGTATAGAAAAAAAAAAGGAGAAGAAAAAACTCACATGTTAAAGTACCCACGCCCCCCTTCCCACAAAATAAAAATCCGCAAATCACCAAATTCTCAAATTGTTTTTTTTTTTTTTTTTTTTTTTTTTTTTTTTTTTAATAATTATGTACATATAATTTTAGTAAAGAGAAGAATAAGATTAAAAAGTCTTCCTTGCTTTCGAATCTCTCTTAGGACATGTTCTCCTATACGTGTAACATGCCGACGGTCAGAAAAACTTGAAACTTGAAAGCGATCAGAGATTATCCGTAGCCTAGGCAACAGACGGTAGGACCGATCGTTAAAACAATGATTTATTAATTAATTGGATTATCAGTTCAGTGAAAGAAAAGCGATCCAATTAATCCCATGGATTACTAGTTTAGTACTTTAACTGGATTGGATCTATTAATCCAATTGATTAACTAGTTGTTCGTCCGCGTTCGCGACGGCCGTTAATTTTGTTTAACTACCTTCGATAGAACTACAAATTTTATTCTGCTTGCAAGGGAAATAAGATAAGAAGAAGAGAAAAAAAAATAGCTCCCTCAGAATTTCAACTGACTTGGACGTATACAAAATACAAGCACGTACGAGTTATTTTCTATTTGTTTGATAAATCCGTAGCTCACATCTGGGGAATATGCAAGTGATTAAGGGAAGGTGACGCACTATCGACACGACTCTGTTGCTTATTGCATACAGATAAAGCTTTGAATGAAATCAAGGTGATGGATGACTCAAGGAGAGAGCTCATCTTACCCTCTTTCGCTCAACAAATTTGTGTCTCACTCATGGTCTATACGTTATGACGCAAGACTCTGATCTACGTTGCGATAAATTATGGTAAAAATCCATCTCCCACCAATTGCCTTCGTCCCAAGGCGACGGTAGCCTCCTTTATCGTAAGTTACGATATCCGCAAATCCGCACCTCAACAATAATCTTTGTTCGAACACAAATTGTGATAATTTATGATACGAATCGGTACCTTATCGATAGTCCTCCTCGTTCCAACGCAAAGGTAGTCTCCGTCTCTCTGCATCAAATCGATGGTCTTCGTTGCGATGAATTACGGTCTAGTTAGGTAAATAGGGGAGATCTTGTACACGTCATCGCCTTTGCTTCGTTACCATCCTTATCAGATCCGGTACATGAATTCTTCAATCGTGTGTATATGTATGTACAATGCGCCAATATGCAATCAAACTCGACAAAGGGAAGAAAGAAAAATCTTTTTGGCTTTCGCTTGCTATGTTCATACATGGTTTAGCCTTTTCAGTGATGAATATCATGGGTAAACGCGCTAGTGCAAATCACCGTTATACCATTAATTAATATATCGTACGATATTAATGATATTAATTATTATTGCGAAAACCAAGTTCGCGTGCACGTCGCATATGTTCAAAAAAAAAGGAAAAAAAATTTTTCTTATTCTACTCTGCTTCTTTGTTTGCAATGATATGCTCCATGACAATACACATATCTATATATTTTTAAAATTACATTTTTTACGAAAAGTATTATTTATTCTTTATTAATAAACACTTGCTTTTTATTTAAACTTGACAACGTTTAACTTAACCTTATTTTATGAAACTTACCTCAATCTTAATATTAACCTCACTTTCAATTCTTTTCTTTCTCGTTTGTTTTTTTTTTTTAAAGTGTGGAGGCTTTTTTTTTTCCTTTTTTTTATTTGTTTTTTTTTTTTTTTACATGTACAATAAAATTATTTAAAAAATTTTTTTTAAATTTTTTTAAATAAAATAATAGCAATTTAAGGTATTAAATTCGTTAACTCTTGTTAATATGCAATTTTTTTTTTTTTTTAATTTTAATTACCCTATCATGTATTTTATTGTTACCGGAAGTCAATTATTTTCTTTTGAATATAAAGAGGAAAAATGTAGTTTTTTTTTTTTTAATAATAATATTTATAATATATATCATCAGTTTTTTTTTATATATACGAAAATTGATTTTTTTTTTTGTTTTCAATAAATAGCAGCTAATGAGAATTTAGAAAGAAGAAAAGCAATTTACTAATTTTATTTATATTTTATGCTTAAGAGTTTCTAATGAAAAATTTATTTATTTTTAATTGCACCTAAGCGGTTACAGAAAGAAAATTTGATGTTATTTGTTCTAATTTGTTCCAATTTTTTGTTCGTTTCAAAATAAATATGATTTTTATTTAATAATTTATAGTTTTTATTTCTTTCTTTATATATATTTTTTAAATATACACATTTATTTGTATTCCCCGAACTTATTGGAATCCGAAATATTTGCTTGCGGAAGCGCTTAGAATTTATAAATATTTGAGTTCAACATTCGCTGTTAAACTATTCACTTCGCCTATAGGTCCCCGTGAAGTTGCAAACAGCAGCAATAGATTTTTGAATCGAGTAACGAAAGTTTCACAAACAGCCAATTTGTCCGAAATCTTCGGGCAATCCAACTATGAAAAGAAGAAAATGGAGAGAGAGAAGTACAGTTAACGAAATCAATTGTTAGCCGTAGTCCGTCTCTTGGTCACTTTTCTATATCGATTGAGGAAATGAATAAGACTTCCATTCTAGGACGTATCAATCGATCTCACAAAACGTCCTTCTTATCAAGAAGCCATCAACAAATAATATGACTCGAAATTTGATTCATTTCCATAATCGATAGAGAAGAGTGGCTACGTTCGTAGATCTATGAATAAGTCCTAGGCTTGAAATTTGATTTATTTTCTTAATCGATACCGAAACGCGGCCAAGAGTGGCCGAATACGGCTAACAACTGACACTCGATGTCGTTAGCTGCATTCTTTTCTCTCCCTCTCTCGTTTTCTTTCCTCTCTTGTATATTAAAAACGTGAAGTACTTTCGATCGTTAATGGAAAATTGCCAGTTCGCTTTACTTCTCTAGGATATACAATAAAGCAGGATTGAGCGAACATCTGCCGTTAACTTTTTCTTGTATTAAATGTTTCTCGAGTTTTTCATTTAAAGCTAGAACTTTGCATAACACAACAAATGTAGGGACCGATTGAGATTCTTCTTTCTCTCTGTCCATATTAAAGGGAAATCGTACGATCACCCTAGGCGAAATTAATAGATGCCCAGTTTTCTGATAAGCTAATGACATGTGCTTTGATAGGAATTTGAAAGATCGGCTTTCAAGATGCTTCCCCATCATTAATAGGTTCATATCGGACTTTGTATAATTTTTTCAACTTATTACTAAAACGGGAAAAAAAGTTTTTTTTGTTAATTTTCTCTAAATAATGTAGAAAAAAAAATTATTTCTTTTATCAAGTCATATGCTCCTAATCTCAGCTATTCGAGCGATCACCACTACAAGTATTCACTCTTAACGGAATATGTTAATTCAAAAAATTCAGTTTAATAATTATTTCGAACATTTTATTTTTTTTAATTAAAAAATATTTTATTAAACCAATAATAACAACAAATAAGCAAATGAGATAAATGATAAAAAATATTTTTTCCTATTATTTTTATATTTATTTTTATATTATTTAGAAACAGAAAATTTAAAATAAATAAAAAAAACAAACAAACAAAAAAAAAAAAGGAAATTAAATGCAATAACCAGAACAACAACAAGCAGCAACAATATTAAGCCCAATTCAATAAATATCTATATTATAAATATGAACAAAATCGTAGGCAGGAAATCGTGCGGTGGTGGTAAAACACACAAAACAAAAACAAAAAAAAAAAAAAAATTTAAAAAAAAGAAGCGTAAACAAATAGTAAATATTTTATAAACTATAGCTATAGAAACGAAAACAAAAAGCAACAAATCGAACGGACATACCGACTGACAATGTGACTAATATTAACTTAAATTTAATGATATTTGTACTCTTTTACCAACACAAACATGCATATACGTATAGAACTATTCTGTAGTAGATATTTATGAGGAAAACAAAATAATAATAAAATAATAAACAAATATAAAAAATATTTAACAAAAAAAAATAAATAAATAAATAATATAATATAACAATAACCGTAAATACAAAAAAAAAAAAAATTATAAAAATATTTTAGTTATTATATATAACATGTATATATATGTACGCATGTATATGTATATATATGCATACATATATATATATATACAGAAAATCAATATAATTAATATTAAATTTGTTTCATAAATTATCATTACGCATATAACATTTACCGGTGGTCATTTTATTCTCCATCTACTAGTAATCATATTTGTAACGTATATATTGTATTTGTATTATAATCTCATTTTTCTATTGTACATCATATTTCGATCATTAGCATTGTCATCATCATCATCATCATCGTTATCATCATCATCATCACCAACGTCATCATCATCATCATCATCATCGTGAACATGAACACTATATGATACACAACATACAATCAATATTACCAAAAACAACAACAACAACAAAAAACTGTAACTAAAAAAAAATTTTAAAAAGAAAAAAAAACAAATTTAAATATTATTTATAATATTTATAAATAAAAGTGAACGAAGAAAACGGAAAACAAGGAAAAAATATTTTTTCTTTTTTTTGTTAGTAACGTATTACAAACAAGTAAAAATATTAGAGGGAGTGGGGAGGGGGAGAGTTGGGGCTACGGCTCATTATTAAATGTCCTGCATCACTTCGCTTGATGCAGTTATTCATATTAAGACTTCTGCAAAATAAGATGGACAAGAGAAGCAGTCGACAAAGCCGTTCAATTCGAATCATTTTCGATAGGGTTCGACCTCGGCGGTATATCAAATATCATCAAAATATATCAAAAATTTGCAGTCTGGAGGATGGACACAAAAAACCACAAGAACAGCGTAAAGCGGTTCGATCCAAAATATATTAAATAGCTTTCGTCCTTGGGCCAAAATAGGTTGATGGACCAAATTTCATCAAAATATCTCAAAAATTGAGTGCAAGAACAAAGGGCAGCGTGACAGCCAAGCTTAAAGCGCTTTGATCCGAACAATTTTGAATAGGTTTTGCCCTTGGGCCAAAACACGAAACATGACGTACGACCTGTAAGTCAAAACAGAGGAAGGGATAAGCTTAGATTGATTCAAAAACTGGTGCGGAATCGTTCGGTATAATAAAACTTGCGTCTGACTCAAGTCCTCCTGAGTGTCGCATACATTCGCATAAATTTGTACCGCAAGTAATTGAAGGTACAAATAATTAAAAAAGGGTTTAGGGAATTATTCAATTGATGTGAAATGCAACAGTGCGCACAAGTAATACTCGAGGCGCGTATTTACTGCCTTTCAGCTCAAAGTTCCCCTTTCACGTTTGCTATTCCCCTAAACATTCTATTAAAACTTTCGCTTATTTCTCTTAGTTCGATATTCATTATTGATATCTTCCGAAGTCGGCCAATTCCATTTTTTGTTTTGAGTTTGCTTCTTGCCTGTAATCTACAGTTTCTCTCACAAAGCATGTAAAGGGTTTACTTTATTCTTCTCAGGTATCGCTTTATCGGATCTTGTTATCGATCGTATGCTATTGTACGATGTATTGGGATTTTTCCTTCCTGTTACGCTATTACGTGAACAGTTTGTGATGTCATCAGTGTATGTATAAAAAAAAAAAACAAAGCAAGTAAGAGGAAGAAATGTGAGTAAAGAAAAAAACAAATTAGAAGTAATAAGTAAAATGCAAGCTGAAGCAGAAAAAAAGAAAAACACGAACGAAAGTGAATGGCAGCTTTCTATAGGAAATCGTTCAAAAATCAAATATAGAATACAAGTGGAAAGTCTTACTGCCGTGTCTATTGCAGTTTACAAGGACATGATGTGATTTCAATATTTTTGCCCGAATTTGAATTTGCACGGTAACCTAACTTTAATGGACCGGCAAATGGGCACGTCCCATTGGATTCAGAATTTGTTATCGATCAAAAATATTTATATACATATTTTCCAATTTTTTCCATTATTATACCCACCACTGTAAGGTGGGGGTGTACTAACTTTGTTTTTTCCCATAATGTATGTAACTCCCAAAAGGAAACTTCAGAGACCCTTTCAAGTATATATATTCTTGATCAACGCGAAATTTTGAGATAATGTAGCCATGTCGGTCCGTCTGTGGAAAAAAAACTTCAGAGTCCCTACAAAGTATATATATTCTTGAGTAATGCGAAATTCTGAGATAATGTAGCCATGTCGGTCCGTCTGTGGAAAAAGAACTTGCGAGACGCTATAAAGTTTACATATTCTTGATCGCCGCGAAATTCAGAGTTGGTTTAGCGATACCTGTCCGTCCGCGTGTTTGTCTTGTCGGCACTCTTCTGGTCGCAAAAACCAAAATATCGTCTTCAAATTTAGTGGAAACATTGGAAGTTTCTGCACGCAGGTTAGTATTGAAAATCCGCCAAATCGGTTGGAGCGGTAGCGCGCAGTGGAGTGTAAACTGAACGCAACTCCGCCCTTTTTAAAAAAAAATTTTTAGATTTTTGCTCGTTACTTGGAAATTATAAAAGTTAGAAGGTTGAAATTTTCCAAATTTACTTTACGAACTACTCTAGCCCTTACGTGCAAAAATGGAGCACATCCGGTATGCCCATGTCCCGTTACAAGTGATTAAATTTTTTTTCTCACTTTTTTAAGGTTTTATGCTTATTTATCATAAGGTAAACAAGGCCGAATGTTTAAAACTGTTTACTATTTATACAACACCTCAGATGAAGATATATTATCGCCCTAAAAGTGGGTTAATGCTAAAATGAATATGGTAGACATCGCGATTACTTTTTTCTTAACAATACTAGCGATATGGGTATCAAATAAAAGAACTTGAAGAGTAGAATGCGAAAAACATGGTGGTGGGTATGCGAGATTCGTCGCCCCCCGAATATAACTTCCTTACTTCTTTTTTTTTATTATAATAATAACTTTTTCCTTTTTTTCTTCTTGTTGAGTTAATGTATGGGTGTGTGCGTGGATTTTCCCCTTTATGGGTCTCAGAGTAGCGGTAGAAAGAGAATGCATCATTTTTTTTAAGTTTATGCAAGCGGATTGATGAAAGCATAAACAGGACGATCTCTGTATCAGTTTGCTGTTCGATCAGCAGCAGCAGCGTAGCAGCAAAATCTTCTTCCAATACTTGCATTCAATTAAGAATATTGACAATGTTTTTTTTTTTTAAATTTTCATAATAATGAAATAATTTATTTTTCTTCTTTATAATAAATATTAATATTTTTTTTTTTCAGTATATATAACTAAAATTAATGTATTGAATAATGTTCGCATGTACTTTGCTTTACTAAAAACGTTAAAGCTATAAATAAAGATTCGATTTTTCTTAAATTAATATTTTCGCCTTAAAAGTGTGCAAATTTTTGAGAAGATGTGTGTATTTATAAATATTTATGTCTTTAGCGAATTTTGAACTTAATTTTTGTAAAGCAATTCGCACAATTAATGAATTAATCAAGTTTAAATGATAATTTACAAAGCAAAATGCTGAACTTTTTACATGTCTGACGAAGTTTTTTCCTTTTTTTTTTCGTTTAAACAAAAACAGTCTTTGGACATTTTTTTTTTTTTTTTACAAATTAGTTATAAATAAAATTACAATTTAGAGCGAAAATATTTGTAGGATATTTCTCATCTTTGTTGTTTTTTTTTCAATTTTTGGCCAACAATGGAATAAATTACCTATAGAGCAGTGTTCTTCAAAGTGTTTGTGTGTGTGTGTGTGTGTATGTTTTGTGTGTATTTTATTTTTACCAAGTTTAATATTTTTAGAAAGGGCTTAGATTACTAACTAAAAAAAATTGCATTTAATAATATTTCTCTGACTGGAAAAAGAAAAGAAGAAAACAAAAAAAAAACAAAATGTTGTTTATATATATGGATCAACAAATACGAGAAGAAATGTTTACAAATATTAAAAAGAAGGGACGTAGTAAAGTGAAATAGACTACAATTAATTAATTAAATGATCAACGTGTTTTACAAAATATAAATTTTTTTCTCATTTATTTTAATAAGCAAAAAAAATTAAATATGAATATATTTTCTTAAATGGTTTTTTTTCTCTATAAACATTTGCAAATTGTGTCCTTGATAGATACATATAACAACATACTCCCCTCCCGTCTTCTTACTTTGCTTAACAAACCAAATAAATAATAATAATAATAATAATAAAAAAAATTCAATTCATTGTATTGTAACCTATATTACTGTCAACTCCACCGACACTCTCCGTCTCCGGTACCATGCCATGATTCGCCAATGGAAAACGCCATCTACGTGGTAATACATTACATATACTTTCGTATAAACGCTGATGGAATGTCTTAAATTCCATATCCACAGATTGTGTTTCGCCGAAATTAAAATCTGCTACTTCAACATTAAATCTAAAAGATATATTAAAATTGAATTTTACTTCTATAGTTAATATATACATTACAGTTGAACTTTTACCGGTTACGGCTTTGTACATAATACGAAACACCAAACACAATTAATATAATGGCAATTAATGTGAAAGTAACGGGCACCACGACCACAGACAGTTGAGATTGTTTTTTAACTGTAAATACATAAAAAACACAAATTAATTAATTAATTCACAATTAATTATTCAATTTTAAAAATCCTGATAATTAAAATTTTTCATTAATTTACTGATGAGCGAGTAATTTGTCTTTTTTTATCCGGTTTCGAAATAAAGCGGTTTACCGACAAATACACATTTTTACACGAATTTTTCTTTCGGTTGCGAATACCAAACAAATAAAAAAAATTTTTTTCTCTTTAATTTCCAATATTGATACGTGTCTTACGAGAAATTTATGTATAGACCAACAAAATGCAATTGGGGAAATACCGTGATCAGAAGTCGATTGGCTTATGCCAATGCTAACATGTGTCAAGTAATAACGAACGAAATTCTTGATGTGAATCAAACCCGACAGTTGTGCTAAACATATCTGACATATCTACCGATGAGAGAACTTTTGGCTCAGGTGCACGCTTGGTCGGAGAGAATATGCTTGACTAAATTCTTACACTTTCCCGACATAATCTTGCGCTATTTAAAGTTGCTAAGAAAAACATTGTTTTATCTATATAGTCGTCCTCAAATGGGTTCGGTAAACTCAATTTCAAACATACTCTTACCTTCGTAAATGTTAATCGTCACTTGGTTAAAGATTTGAGAAACCTCGTTGCGTATAAAAAACAATATGGTTTTACTTTCCGAATAGTAACGTTTAAAATTAATTTTACACTCTTTTATACTATAGAAGAATGGACAAGATTCGTTACCAGTTGAATTGTAAGGAGCTAAAAAATTGAAATGGAAATATAACAAAAAATACGGATTTCAAAATTTTGCAAAAGATACAACATTTACCATCATAAACCAAATAACAATATTCAAAATTGGGCGAGCCTTTACATTTAACCTCCATATTTAAAATGTCGCCGTGTTCTAGCCAAGTTTTACTGGATACCGAAAAATTGCTAATAGCATCTACAGATACAAGAAAGAAGAGCAATTGCAATTTAATTAGAATAACAATGAAATGTTTCTGTCAAAAGTCAAGTAACCTTTTGGCTTAATTTCGCGCTTATAATAGCCCTGGATAAGGTAGTCATCATCATCATCGTTATGACTTATTTCTTTGGTAGCGCAATTAAGTGGCGATGTTAACATGAGATATGATGTCGAAGTGCTTAACTCTTGCTGCTCTGCTGTTATAAAATTAGGATTTAAATGGGGATTTATTGTTACCGCCGATAAATTGAAAGAATTTCTAATTAAATCCATCGACTGTTGCTCCGGTTGCTGGCGCTCGGTTGATTGATTTACCAAATTATTATTACTGGCATCTATTAGCGGGGATGATAATGCGTCTCGTTTTCTTTTCTTTATCATTTCAATGCTGCCCGTTGTGCCCGTAGAATTGCTACTTGCAATTGTCGCTGCCATCGAGGTAGAATTAATAAATGGCTTTATTGTACTGGTGGTGAGAACGTTAGGGTTCTTTGTCGAAGCGGTAATGATGGGCTTCGGGGTAGTGGTCGTTGTCGTAGTAGTAGTAGTAGTAGTAGCAGCGGTAGTGTTCGGGGTGATGCTGGTACTACTAGTAGTGGGGGCCGGTGTAGTAGTAGTTGTTGTAGTTGTAGTAATTGGTTTCTTTTTAAATGAAGCCATCACTACAGCTTCAATAATGTAAGTTTGATTAGTTTGATTATAAACGGCCTCATAGCTTAACCCTTTCGTTACACCTAAATAGGTGCAATTTTGATACCAATATGTCATTACATAGGTTGCATTTCTGCTTAAATACTCTTGATCTTCATTCGGTAATATAATTGTATGATTAACTGGTATCTTTGTCGCGACAAATTCATTTTTACGTTTAACTCCACTTTGAAGATAACCTAATTCACCGCCCAATATATTTGTCACTTTTAGATTTGTGCTTTGTTGACCCACGTTTATCCAAATATTGAGCAATGATGAAAATTGTTTCTCAACAATTACACGAATCCTATAAACATCCAAACTAGTTTTATTCATAGGATACTGAATCGTCCAATTCGAGATAGACTGATTTGCAGCAATTGTCTGAAAATGATAAAAAAAAATAATATTAAATAAAAAAAAAATTAAAAAAATTGTTAAGAATTTTTTTATTTAGTTTTTATGAAATATTATTATTATTATTTAATCACATCTATCTCCTTATATTTAATTAATCAAATTACCTGATTTTAAGTGATCGGGTTTAACGATATAATAAGAAAATTCTTGTGTAAAATCATTTCCATTGCAAATCATCTCATTTTAATGAATTTCAAAAATGCATAAGACACCAACAAACGATAAAACACAATCTATTCTTTTCATTTTAACGACTGTGTATGTGTGCACACGATGAGCAAATTAATAATAATGATAAAATTCTATTGACAACACAAAACGAATTTTATTTACATTACAAGACGAATGGGACAATGGGCAGGTAAACTAGCAAAACTCTTAGATAGGTTCCTTTGAGAAACGTGCAGAAAAAAAAACAATGCATAAAAAAATACATACGACATATGATATAGCATTCGGATATATGTTCCGAAAACTTGAAAAATCGTGCAAAATGGGAAAAATTTTAAATATTTTCTTAAAAAAAACCGTGCAAAAAAAGTAAGAATGAAATCCATATCACATATTTGTAAAACAAAAACTATTCAATATTTTTAATTACGCCAAAAAAATAAAAATTAGTGTACTATAAAAACTAATTTCGCAACTAATCATCGGACCAAAAATGCAATCATCTTTCCCAAGTCCTTAAGCTAATGAAAACAACATTTTGACACAATCCTGCGGTCCTGATATTATCCTCCCCGGGAAGTGGCACTCCACATAGAATTGTAAATAAGCAATATATGAAGCAGGGAAATGTAGAAAGTACATTTAGACAATAACGGTCCCAATTGGTATATGGTTAAGTACCCAAAAATATGATTGCATTACATGGAAGAATGGCAATTATAATGATTAAAGTTGAAAACGAAAGGCATTATTAGATTGTATGAAGATGCCGGGTCCACTCCAATAGTGGACCGCTCTTATCGAAGAACATCTCTTAAAGGTTAATCCCGATAAATCGTAGAAATATACATTTGACGGTTACACAGAAATGTAAAAATTTTAAAAATAAATTCCCAATGGAAGAGGCAACCCTTTCCAATCATACTATGAAAAAGGTATCTAGATTACGATATTTAACGTAATGTTTGAAGGAGCATCCCAAAAAGCCTTGGACAAGTTAATATTATGCAAGAATGTAACGATCGTGTTAACCATTCACTGCAATTGATTGATAGTGGATTCAGAAAAGGCGAACATCGCCTCAATATAAGATATGTGTAAACACATATTGGTAACATGGACCATTCTCAGCGTACCATAAACCTTACACCCACATATTGGGTTAACATATCTAACAAATGGAAAGTCTTTATCAATAACTGCACCTAAGCATCTATGACCAGAAATCTTATTCAATTTCATTATTATTAAGGTATAGTCCCGGATACGAAGGAAATTCAGAAATCATAGGCGGTTGCTTTTAATGCTTAGATTTATATTGAACCTATTTTCAGAGATTCACTATAGTACGGGTCCTAGAGACCCATTAACACATCGCACAGGAGTCTGATCAGATATTCTCTCCTCATAACACAGCAGAGAGACGTCTTCTACGTAAAGTAGTGCATCACATGTTTCAGAATTCATCTGCAGCTTAACAGAAGTGATTCCAGACCCCGACTTAATCTGCAATAGCAGAAAATAAAAGAAGACAACTCAATTTATCTCCCTTAAAATGGACAAATGTGTAGGCTGTTAGAGGGGTACGGGAATACAAGATATGTCAGAAGAATTTTGATCGTTATTAACGGCCTCCGTTGGTGATTGGTTTTTGTTTTTTTGTCGTCTATCTAAAGTCTATCATTAGCAACTGTTTTTTTGGTTTCTCAAGTTGCTTACATAACCCTAATTGTGTATTCCCCATAGTGCAATACATCACTAACAAAGTCAAAAATGTAATTTAAAAAAAAAAATTGAATTCGTCCTTGAGCAAAGTAAAAAAAAAAATGGGTATTTGTTCGCCACAGTTATAGTGGACCGTGTTATTTCAAGAACGGATAAAAAAGGATTGTGTAAAAAAAGACTTTGAAAAAAATTGTTACAAATAGTCGGTTATCTGTTATTCCGAGTGCAAAGAGCAATTAATGGGAAAAATGGTAGTCCCTGCAGACAAAATTATTCCTCGTAATGAGGAAATCTTACAAACTTGATTATGATTTGGGAGGAGCATCTCAACTATTACTCAAATGTGTGATGTCAAATAAAATCTTTTCGTATAATTTTTACCAAAATTTTTGTCCTAAGTACAAATTTGGTGGCGCTATATCCACCTCCGTCAACCTCGAAAAGCAGCAATTCTATCAATTAATCTTCCATTCCAATGATGCGCCTTTAAAGACCATCTCTTAGATCGCAAACTTTTCTCAACAGATAAGAGAATAATAAGTCAGTCCACATGACATCTAAGTGACATATCATCGTCAAGCTGTAACACTGCTGATAAACGAGAATTCACTGCAACTGATTTATGAATTCGTATGATGACGAACGTGCGTGCTTTTGTTTATAAACCAAAGTTATAATTAAGCTAAGAATACAATTTACACTGTTTTTTCCCCCTTAACCATTCACTCAGAGAATCTCCCCTGAACGTGCAACCATAATGGTGGTCAATAGGATTTACGGGGACAAGTAGGAAAGGAGGACATACTATATAGCGTATTTCGTATTTATGTCTATCGCAATGTGTGAAGTGAATAAGTTTCAAGAGAGACAGCGTAAATTAAATAGTTTTCGAAAACAATTATATGATTTTAAGTTAATTCATTCGCTTTTGCTCGTTTGCGCGCTGTTATTGCACCGAATAAAGCGACAAAATTGAAACAAATGTTTTCACACACTCGCCATCGCTAGATATAAAATTGAACTTAAATCCATTATTTATTTATTAAATATTTATCGAGATCATAAGTAAAAAAAAGTAAAAAATTTCTTTTATTTAATACCCATATCGCTGGCATTATAAAAAAAAAATTAAACCACCCGGTCGCGGTGTCTACCGTATTCGTTTTAGAATTAACCCATTTTTAGGCAGATCATGTATTTTTATTTGGGGAATGGACAAAATAATTTTCAGCATTGTGTCTTGTGTGCCTTATGATAAATAAGCATAAAATTTCAAAAAAGTGAAAAAAATAACACTTCGGTTTCCCTTTTTTCCGATTTTTACACGTAAAGGAGTGTAATGTAAAGCAAATGTGAAAATTCCCGGCCTTCTAACTTTTATAATTCCTAAGCGAGGAGCAAAAATTCATAAATTTTTGTTAAAAAAAACGGGGATGCGTTCAGTATATCGTAAAATATCAACAACTATATTTTGTTGTATATTTATTGTATTTTTGCGATTTTTGTCGAAAAATTGTTTTTTTGTTGCAAATATCGATTTTTCTGAATAAAGGCAGAGCCTCTTTCCTAAAGTTGACAATGGACGTTCATACGCCATCTTAGCGAGCTACACAATGAGCGTATATCAAGGGACAAGCGAATGGCAGCGATAGTCGTGTCGTACTGATGTCCGACTACATACATTTACTGAATGCTCGGGTAGGTTATTGAACGAAAATTGTGGGATAGGATAGGATTTAAAAAACATTTTCCCAACCGCTATTTAGCAATATCATAAAAATATATGAATTGTACATATTGATTTATCTGCTTAAGCTCTTCTCGCTTAACGAAACTTTGCAACGCATGTTTACAATTTCAGATAAGAAACACATTATTAAATGTATTAAATGATTCATATCAATATAATAAATTGGGGACGTCGACATTGCGGTTTTTATGTTTGTTCTAATTTCAATAAAGGGATTTTTTCGCATTTCTTTAAAGCAATTTTGGTTTACTTTGAAAATGAGCACAATGAGTATCAAATTGAGACGTTTCTCTTTGAATAGAAGCGAAATCTCTGCAAAATCGCTTCAAGATATTAGAATGTGTCAGAATTAATTTGTTCTATGCACAAACGAAATGTTTTTATAAGTACTTATGTATGTAGGGTATATAAATAAATATGTTAAACTTTTTTTTTTTAAAACTCCAAAAATACTGGATTGCTTTTGGAGTAAACGCTATTACAACGTTAATGCACATAATTCTTTATATCTCAATTTACGATCCGACTCCGTCACACCTACTTACCTCGCTATGTAGCGCGTTATCGGACCAATGGTATTTGTAATTGGCCGAACTCGCCAAGCGGCCATCATCATACACAATCGCAGTAATGTTGATTTTATTTCCTATTAGAACAGCTTCAGGCGCTTTGATAACCACATTGTAGGCACCTGAAACTGTAAATACATAAGAAATTCAGTTTTCATTGAAAATTCAACGCTACAAAAATATGATAAGCTTAAAAAGGGCGGTTTTATTCATTGCAATTGTATACGCACCCGAACAAATGACGCCGTAAAATAATACAATTGTAAAAAATTGTTTATAATATAACAACGAATGTTGTTTAACTAACTGCATATTTTTATGGTGACAAGTGACAATCAAGAAAACACGATATATGCCTTGTCTAGATGAATATGCGAATCGCCTCCGGATGGTATGATTTGTCCAATTGCACTTGGCTATTCACAATTGACTAGTATTTGGAAGTTTTAGGAAAAAAAATTGACCGCAAACTTTTCTTTCTTTGCGGAAAATGCAATTATTTTCTTCTTTCGGTTTTTCACTTTCCGTTGTTGTTTTTGTTTTTTCTTAATTTTTCCACAATATTGCCACCAAAGAATGGCTCCTTTAAAATTTTATTTTGGTTTTCGTCAAACTCGAAAAGCATAATTATTGCATTGTATTTAATAAATTAATTCTAAAGATTTTTCTTTTATTTATAACACATTTGTATATAAAAAACTTGGAATTATTTCACGAGCTGTGCGATTAAATGTTTTTTCTTTAAGCAAATTTTAGAACTGACATATTCCAGAGCAGTTAAGATCGATTTGCTTGTGTACTAAAACAGGTATGTTAGCAAATGATTAACAACGTCGTCTTTGAATCTTATCGTATTGCGACAATTATTTTTTTTACTTATACCGTACATATGCATATACTAAAGCTTGTAGTTTTATTGATCCTTAAAATCCTAATGTACATACGCTAAATCGTTAGGTGCAAAAATTGGAACACTTTCTCTGCGAATGACGTATCACCTCGCAACAAAACACGGCCTAACTAAAATATTTGATATTGCTTTATAAAACTGGCAGCACTGCTACCCTGGCAATATAACTCATCAATCAAACTAAAAAAAAAAACCACATAGGCGATATCTATACCATACTGTTGCCACGACTACTAAACAAGTCTGCAGGATGTCTAAAGATATTAATCCTAAAGAAGCTATTGTTAAGACAGCTTACGCTGATGTTAATAAGTTCGGTCAAAATGGGGAATTTGATAAATCCATGAAGGCTGTCAATCGAAGTAAGTATAAAACATGAGTGTTATGTCTTTTTGACCATTTCAAACTTCGACGCATTATTTTCTAGTCCTCGCTGTTGCCCCAGACGATCACACAGCTCTTCACTGCAAAATTATTTGCTTAATACAGTTAACAAAATTCGAAGAAGCATTGAAATTTATTGAAAAAAATCGCTTGGTAACATTAATCTTTGAAAAGGCCTACTGCGAATACCGGCTAAATAAACCAAATTTGGCTTTAAAGACCATCGATGATGCAAATTTGCCTGTTTTGCCTCCGAATCTTAAGGAGTTGCGTACTCAAGTTTTGTATCGTTTGGAACGTTATGACGAATGTTTCGAGTCATATAAAGATATCATTAAGCATACCAATGATTATTACGAAGACGAACGACGCACTAATTTTAAAGCGGTAGCAGCTAATTTAGCTTTAGATACCAACAATGTGATACCAGAAATACCGGAAGATACTTATGAACAATACTTTAACGGATCTTTCATATTGTCGATTCGTCAAAGGTATTCAGAAGCTGAAAAAAAATTGCGCGTTAGTGAGAAGTTGTGCAGAGAAAGTTTAGAGGAAGACGGCGCCTCTGAAGAAGAGATCAGGGAAGAAATGGACATCATTAAGGTTCAAACTGCTTATTGTATGCAAATGCAAGGCAAAACCAAAGAAGCTGCTGCAATTTATGCGGACGTGTTACGCAACAAACCGAAAGATCCCGCTCTTATTGCTGTGGCCAGCAATAATTTGGTAGTAATTAATAAAGATCAACATGTTTTTGATTCGAAAAAAAAGATACGTGCTGCCATGGCAGATGCTTGTGAGCACAAATTGACGGCACGACAGAAAAAAGCTGTTGCTCTTAATAATTGTCTTCTAGCATTGTTTACCAACGCCAGTGATCAGATACATCAAATAAGCACGAAGTTAGCGGAACAATATCCTGATATGTGCTTTCAGTCTCTACTTATCAGAGCCGTTCAATTCACCAAGGATAAGAAGCACAAAGAGGCCGTAGAATTGCTTCAAAAGCACGCAGCTAGTACTGCGAATAAAGAAGAAGCTTTTGCCAGCAAATTCGCTATCGTCCAATTTTTACTTGTTCAAGGTGCCCGTAAGGAAGCTATAGATGTTTTATTATCTTTGGGCGAGGCCAAATATAAACCCGGGATAGTGTCGGCCCTGGTCACTTTATATTTGGGTATGAATAATAAACCAGCTGCATCTGAATTGCTGCGCACTGCCGTTGATTGGTATAAGAAGAACAATGTAAGTAGCGGCGATTTGTCTGATATGTGGCGTCAGGCTGCTGAATTTCATTTACGAGGAGGAGCCACGGAAACTGCTGCTAGCTCTTTAGAGGAATTACTCAAATTGAAACCCAACGACGTGAGAGTTTTGGCTCAACTGGTTATAGCCTATGCTCAGTGTAACCCACAGAAAGCTTTAGAGGTAAGCAAAAAATTACCTAAACTGGAGACTCTTACCACAGCTTCCGAAATCGATGCATTGGAAGCGGCCAACTGGGTAATGTCCACCAAAGCCGCGAAGAAATCGGCAAATGCGAAAATTGACCAGTCGCCTGGCACGCCAGTGGTTGAAAAGAAAAAGTGTCATAAACGGAAGCGGAAAGGCAAACTACCCAAAAATTACAATGCTGAGATACCACCAGATCCCGAAAGATGGTTGCCGAAGTATGAACGCACTGGTTTCCGCAAGAAACGTGACCGCCGCGCCAAGGATATTATTAAAGGCTCTCAGGGCATGTCCAGCCAAGCAGCTGAGCAATAGTAAGATTCCATGGTCAAATTTAATAAAAAATTTACTTATCTATTAAATCTTTCAGTGATATGTCTAATCGGGCTAACCTGAATAAGAGTTCGCCAGCTACTCCAGCTTATCAGGAGCCTACTCCAGGACCACGTCAACAGCACCGTAAAGGTGGGCAAAAAAAAAGAAAAGGTGGCCGTTTTTAAAAAGAAACATTCATCGGTATTCCTTTGGTCTCTTTTTATGTAATTTAATTAAAAATGCAATTAAATTTACTCCTCTTTTTCTTCTTTATTGGACTTATCCTCAGATGAAGGAGGGTTTTCGTCATTTCGCACATCGTAACTATGTAATGGCAGTGTTTCAAGCCAATTTAATAGCGGCTTCTCTTTATACTCCGTTTCATAAATATTTGCAAGGATTTTTTGCTCTACAAATTGTTGAATTTCCTGTTCATGATTTTCCCAAGTTAAGGGATTGTGTATGCCATCCTTCCCGTAACGTTCATTGTAACGTTCGTAATGGACTGTATCTAGTACCAAACCCAGACCAGGAGCCATAGGTAAATCTAATCTCTCCTCAGAGAGAGCTTTGTTTAACGTTGAGAAGTCTGTGTGACCGCGTACAATAGCGACTGTTAGACCAACCATTTTACGAATTTGATGTAACATAAAACTTTGCCCTTTTACCTTGACAGTTATAAATTCTGCATTGTGAGGGCTCAGGAAAGGATCGGAACATGTAAAAGACATTATAAATCGTTTAGATGATGGATCAAAGTAGTTTCTGTAATCGAGAGATAATGAAAAACTTCATCATTCATGCTACAATGATTCGACTTACTTGCGACTTGTGAAATTGTGAAAATTTTTTGTACCCTCAAATTTCTGTAAGATATCTTTAGCTTTCAGCAATTGCTCTGTTGATAAGCGAAAAGTTTCGTAATTGGCATTCGCTTCAAAATCAGCAAAGGCTATACTTGGCATCGTATAGGTATAAGTACGAGCATCACATTGGCCCTTAGCATTGAATCCCTTGGTAACGCGCTCTACGGCAAAAAGGCGTATTTGCTCAGGTAAATCGTCATTGAAAGCTTTGATATTCAAAGCTTCCGCTAGAAGAATGAGTTTTCTTTAATGTTTTTCATCAACATATACTTTTGCTTGTGCTTTACGCAATTTTAATGAGCACACTTGCCGTGCGGCAGAAACTCCTTTATCAGTCCGAGCAGCTCTTTGAAAAGAAGCCATTTGTGCCTGGCCATAAGCGTCATTCGATATCCATTTATGTTTCAAAAGAGCTTTGAATAATTCTTCTTCTATTGTCTCCATTCCAGGATTACGTTGCATTCCGTAGTAATTCGCTCCCGAATAGCTTAACAAAATTGCACATTTCTTACGTTTTATTTTTTCAACTGAAGAATCAATTGCCGCTCTTTTCGCCTCAGTACATTTCCGTTCATCTTCAGTTTCCCAATTCACCCATTTTCTACGTTTTAATTTTTGTTTCAACTTTTTCATCTCATTTACTGACGCTTCTGCCACTTTTCGTTCTTCTTCTCCGATGCGTTTTTGTTGTTCTAACTTTTCCAAAGCTTCAGCCATTGCCGCAGCGAAACCTTTCGTATGCTCAATTGAATGACAAGCGATATCTATCCGGCTTAGGCGTTCTAATCGAATATAGTTGTGGAAGAAAATCTTAAATAATTTTTCTCATGAAAATGAAAATCACTTTAATTAATACCTGCCTTTAAATTCCTCAATAGCTTTCCAAATAATAGCATTTAACCAATAATACAAGAATACACTTCGATTTACTAAAGTGTACACACGTGTACTCGCCTTTATCCTTCTACTCTCTTTAGCAGCTGTTTGAATTAAATTACAGTGTTGCAATGCTGCACTAAAGATTCAATTTAAATAGCGTTTTTTGCTTCTCTGCATACTGGCGTAATATTATTAAGTGATATATTGAGGTGGCTTTATATATCATTCTAAAGTTTTCATGATTACATATTACAGTTACGCTAGGATCTTATTCTAACGACTTTTTAATTAGAATATCAATGCTACGTGTTATGAGAGGTAACAATAACGAATGGCTTTCGTAAATGCCTGGCAATAAACAAAATGGAGAAAAACTCATCCCGAAATTTGGCAATTCTTGTTTATTTTGACGTTTTACAATAAAGAAAAACTCACACACAGCAATAAGATACATTATATAGTTTTGTCTTTAAAATTAATTAAATCTAAAGGAGGGAGAAATATTATCATTAAATTTTAATTCATTTTTAAAGTATTAATAAACAAATGACAACAGAAGCAATTGACGGGCATATAAACAACACAGCTCCAGTATGTCGCATTTGTTTGCAAACATCGCATGAATCGCAGGAGCTGCTTCCTCTGTTCGAAAGAGATCCTAGCAGTTCTAACGTATTTGTATATGAGAAAATTGAAGAATGTGCCGGCATAAAGGTTGACTTATCATCAATCATTTATAAAATTGATGATACTAATATTCTATTCGTTTTATTAGATTATGAAAAAACCCGAATTGCCTTCGAGTATTTGCAAAAAATGTAATGCTTTTTTAACTATAGCTTACAAATTTCGGATAATGTGTAAGAACTCTGATAATTATTTACGGGAATTTGTATGCAAAGATGTATCCAAAGAAGAGAGTAGCGAAAATGAAGAGTATTTGTTAGAGTGCAATGAATCAGTTAGTGGTCAAACGGAAAAAAATGATACACAATTCCAAAACGAGGATTCCCAAGATAGTATGAATACTGAAGACTTTGCTAATGAGGAATATTCCGAATTTTGGCTAAAATCGACAGAAAACGATGATATGTTTGAGCATCTACAAGATATTGGTGAACATAGCGATAATGAGGATGACGGCGTAGGAGCTGGCATAGAAACTACTGCAGAGGATTTAGAAAATTCTCAAGATTCCTCGTTAAGTCATACAAATGAAAATAATCGTGCAAAAGAAACTCAAAAGTATATTTGCGATATGTGTGGCAATTCCTACGCACGTAAATATGTTTTAGAAGCCCACATGCGACGGCATCGTCATGATAAGTCATTTGAATGCGAGTAAGAATAAAAATGACGAACAATTACTGTATTCAAGCATATCGGTAAGTTTTCGTTTTCTTTTTATAGTATATGTGGTGAGGCATTCCTTTTAAATTTCGAACTAAAACGACATTTACGTAAGCACACTTCCGCACGTCCTTTCGGGTGTCAATATTGTCAGCGAACTTTCAGCGATCGTTCTACCATGAAGAAACATGAGAGGTAAGCTTAAGCATTTACAAAAACATTTATTTCATAGTTAATCATTCATTTCTAATAGAATACATCGTAATGAACGACCTTTTAAATGTGAAATATGCAGCAAAAGTTTTACATATTCGAGCGTCCTAAAAGCTCACCAATTAACCCATACTGGTGAAAAACCATTTAAGTGAGTTGTTTAAGCAGCTACCGACGTACGTTTTTTTCTTTCTTTAATTTGTATGCGTATCTATGTGCACTTTTATATTCCAGCTGCGGAATTTGTAGTAAACGTTTTTCAAGGCCGCATCATTTAAGAGCCCATTTAGAGACATTATTACATCAAAGCGATCCAAGAACAAAACTTTTAATTAAGCAAATGAAAAAAAGAAAAACTTCTTAACGCATTTTTACAAAAACTGACTACATGATGTTATAGCTTATAAAGAGAATCAACGTCGGTCGAGACAAGAAACACAAGTTTGATTAAAATTTTTTTGTAGAAAAAAACATTTAAAACGCATTTTTTCTTGGCTCTTTATAAAACAAAAAAAATGTTCTTTATTTAAAGATTTTTTTTTTAAACGTTTTTTTCTTCATTTTGTTGAACATTTTTATTTAAATAAATAAACAAAGGAACAAAAAAAAAAAAACAATATTTAATGGAATGAAAGAAGCAGATGAGAAAAAAAAATTTTTTTTAAAATAAAAATCACATCAAAACCATTTTTATTCCAGAAGTATTAATTTAAATAATTATATAATTATATAACAATTTTACATGAGTACCAATTTTTTTTTCTTTTTTTTTTTTACGAGGTGGGCATTGAAAAGTGTTTAGCAGGAAAATAAGAATAACTAAATTCAAGGAAACAGAGAAAAAAAAGAACTTCCTAAAAATTTTTATATTACAAAATAATGACCTTAACGAGAATTAAGGGGCAGCAGAATGAATGTATTGCTATCCCGCGCCCCCTTTGTATTTCAACTTTATAAAAATTACATTTTATTACAGTTAAAATGCAATCACGGATTCTTGTTTTTACTTGGAGATCATACGTATTTTATCCTTTATCAGATTTCTTAACTCTGTCACCATTAATTCATGCGATTCTTTAAATACAGAGGCCACGTCACCGATTAAAGTGGCTTCCACTTCAGGTTTTAGTGACATATCTGCCATAAACGAATTTAAATCACGAGGCAATGCCGGCGTTTTCCAATCGTCTAAGAAAAGAGAAAAAAAGAAAAACAATATCAATCATAGGTTCGACAAAGTCTCCAACTGTTTTATTAGGATACTATGATCATAAAAATCTTCAAATATTTCGATGATATGGTCGGTCGTCGGTTCATTTCGTATTTTGAAAATGACCAAAGGAGGAAAAGCTGCTAAGCTTTTAGCTGAAGTAGTTCTATTGCCAAGTGGTAGCGTGTCAGAGTGCCAAAGCAAAAAAAAAAAAAAAGCATGCCAAGAGCAAAAATTTGTCGCAAACAATTTCCCCCTACTTCGCAAAATGCGCAAAACACCCACATTGTTTTCTCACTGGCACTACGAAGGACCATGATACGTCTCTTAACTGATTTCTCATGGGATATAGCCCCAAGATACCACATAGGTATCTCGGATTCCAGTTTATGCAAATTCGTCATATTCTAAGCATATGTGCGGTATTTGGCGAATAGAAGTCAATTGTCTCAATTGAATGATTCGATGCTCTTTAGCAGGGGGATGCTACTCTCAGATGCAGGGCAATCTGTACTTTGGCGCAAAAGTCCTAGATATCTTTGGCCAAACTGGACACAAATTGTGAGACTATCAATATAGTTTAGCGTTCATTTAAAATTTGCCTGGATTGAGGGCGGCAGAAAATTAGGAACTCGCCACTTAAGCAGAACTGTTTGGAAAATTTTGGTAAGCGTCATTTTAAAAAAATGTATAGCTTAGAATGATTACTGAGATTGAAAATAGACAAGTTGAAAGTTTAATTAATTATTCCGGGACTGTGATGCTTCGATTTAAGGAATCAGTCAATGTTTTCGCTTATTGTTATTGATAAAATACTTACTTATTAGTTTATCACAGCGTTGGAATTCTCTTTTCAAAAGTCTCATTAATTCTATAAGCATTTGGCAGCGTTCCTTTTCGCTAATCACTAATTCAGTCTCGGAATTTGATTTCTTTTTCGGTTTAATTTTACTCGAAGTCTGTAGCTTTTCGTAAAGCGCTGTCAGTATGAAAGCGTACAGCGAGAGTATCTGGAAATAATTAAATATATTTTTTTAATTTTTCATCTTTTTTTTTATATATATAAACACATACTTCCAAACTTGCTGCTATCTTGCTTTGCCATTCACGTCTACGCCATAGGCCATCTTCGAAAGATTCATCGCTTGCGGCGATAATATTACCGCAAAAATTTACAAGCTGAACAACATTATCGCATTGTAATTTGCATTGCAATGATAGATTGCTCGCGCCAACATAGAATTGCATAACCAATTGAGCTAAATCGCTAAAGAATTTCTCATATGGCATTTCTAAGAGCAGATGTAAACGTGTAGGCAGTAAATTGACTAGAAAACGATTCGGTAAAGGTTTCAAATTTTCGTTGCGCAAACGATTAAACAATTCCAGCCATTCTTTGTTTAGAAACTCAATCAGTTCCGTATCTTTATTGCCGCATGGAGTGGAATTGCTACCGGCGTTATTTGTATGAGCAGCATTACTGGCTTGATTCGATGCCAATTCACCAGACTTACTTCGAGATTTCGGACTAAGCGATGGTAGAAAGAGATCAACAAATGAAGCTATTAAACGTAATAGCAATAAACGTATGCGTAAAATTTCAACCTCTTGTTGAAAAGAATCTTCACGCTCTGTTTCCAAAGCGACTAAATGCACAGGATCCCAACGTGTTAAAGCGTCCAAGTCACGATTATCACTCAGCTTATGCCAGCATGTATGATCTTCGGCGGGATCTATACTCATGACAGCATAGCTGGTCAAATTTTGCTGTACATTGCCATACAAGATGACTAGATCGCATAGTTGAGCCTCAACCGAAGTGGCCACGTAATGTAGACTGTTGGTAAGTCGCTCCTTGAAATTCATGAATTCTTCAATTTTTGAAAATGTGCAAAAACGATAAGTTAAAGCTAAATAATCCAATCTCTCCTTATAACTATTAGTGAAGAATTTTAAAGTTGCATCAAATACCGAACGTGCCATAGAGAAACGTCCCGATAAAGCCAATGCATTGCAATGTATATAGCCCATTGAATCGAGCTGTATTTGTTTAATATCTAAATAATCGTACATTTCTTGCGCGCCCAAATGACATCCTAACATGTGATAGATTTTTAAACTTAAAAGTTTCACGTGAAAATTACTGGTGCTGTTGCGTAAAACGTATTGCAATAAACATAACGCCTCAAAGATACGATCTGACTTTTGCTGCTGCTGACTAATATCGTACATCACATTCGCTGCAAGATAATTAAGAAAAATGAAAAAAAAAAAAAAAAAACCAATCATTTAATTGATTTGGAATTAATCACTTACCCGCCAATAAAGCATAAGAATCTGAAGGTCCCATATCAGTGGTCAAAAGGTTTTTGCCAAACGAACTTAAACCATGTTCATAATGCAATTTCAAGGCGGTATAAAAAGCCAACAAATGCTCCAGTTTCAAGTCCAAATGGGAACCGCAGATACGTGATATTTGTAGGGCACAAATGTGTTTTTGCATTTGTTCTTTCTACATGAAAGGAAGAAAAAGTATGGTATAAACCTTCATCAAACAACTCATCCTCCCTTAACCCCACTACATTTGAGGTGAACACATTACACAAAACAATTTATTAATTAGTGAATTATTTATACTAATTTTGAGGTAATTGGATGCTGTTTGGCCTAAGGACAAATCCTATTAAAAATAGTTTCAGTAGAGCCGTTCTAAATTTGTTTGTCCGTCTGTTACTCTGAACTTTTTTATTTAATCCATGGATCGCACATTGACCATATTTGGCGCATTTTGGATCAGATAGATTTTTACAATCGACAAAATGCGAAATTTTTGCTCCAAAAAAATTGTAATTTTTATAATTCCTTCACAAAAGTCTCCGAGTCAAAATAATATGTTGATGTGAGAGTTTGGACCATCAGATGCATATATGTTTTGAGTGTCTTCTTATATAGTAGTAGCTCCTATAAAAGACATGCGTTGATAAAGCAAATGTTTTAAGCTTCAAAAGAGAGAATTGACGTTATAATCAACTCTACCAAATTTGGATTATGTAAAACTATTTTTCGCCTACTGCTGCATATTCTTTTAAGAAAGAATGCCTTTTTATGCAAAAAAATCGTCATGATAAAAATTGATCAATGACCGCGATCTGACATAGAGCCTAATTGCATAAAATTTGGAGTAGATCTATTTCCATATCGGGGTTTTTATAAAAAGTCCGTCGGTGAAAAATAGTAAAAAGTAGGCCAGGAATGTATTCATAAAACACGTTAATATATGAAGTCATTTCAACTAACTGCTACGGCAAAACATTTTTGGCGATTACAGGCGGAGAAGAGATCCCCATTTGGTGCATCTTTTTTGAAAGATTGTTTTTTCATGATATGAGCAAGTACTTTAGCGATGTCTTCGCTATTCGCTTAGAAACACGGGAGTAAAGAGAAAGAAATAGGGAAGCGGCCACAGCGTAGTGGGGGTGTGACCAATCAGTAAGTGTTATGATTTTAGTAAGTGATTGTTCACTAGAAACGCCATCACTTGGCTGCATACATGGGCGAACATGCACTAGTTGATGGGTAGTCTGAGACGATTTTTACCTAAACGACTTATCATTGAAATTATGTTGAAAAATGGCTTAAATTCTCTATAATAAATAATTGCTGGCGCTTAGAAACAAAATGACAAAATAATTAAACAGTGTGCTGTGTAGTGGGATCATGAGAAAGCTTTTACAACTTATATTGGATAACATACATTTTGTGGTAATGTTGTCGAACTGATGCCGCTTTCCAATAATAATTTGCTGGCTAATTCTTGGCGCTCTTGCATACTTATGGTGGGTAGAAATAAAGCAATGTCATGAGTGCAACAAGATTTATCGCCAAATAAACGAAAATATTCGGTAATCATTTCACTTAAATCACCCAGCAAATGTTTCGCATCCAGATTATGGGCACACATTCGCTTATACAATTCCAATCGAGCCAAGTATGGGCCTCGCACTTTTTTCTCACCTTCTTCTATTAAATGTAAGCAAATACACTAGAATTGCAAACGATACGATTTAAAAAATAAATGAATGAAATATTTGTCATTGTAATTATAATTCGTACCTGACATAGAAACTCATGACATTCATCTAAAATTGTAAGAGCCGTTTCATTCTTTTCTGATTCACTTTTATCCGATTTTTTATCGACTTCTTGTTGCTCTTTTAATAATTCAAAACAACTAGTTAAATAATCCTGATAGAAATCCCAACGATCATGTCTACGGTAACAAAATTTTTAAATGGATGGAATTCTTGAAATTTAAAAAAACAATTATAACTAATAGTAACGATGATAATGTGTACCCACTCTTCGTTTAATAGCTCCTTTAATAATATATTGCAATCTCTCCACATTTTCAATTCTTTAAGCAAATTAATTTTCATATAGATGGGAGCACCGGGATATAATTTCGTACATATGGAACTGTTAAGGAATTCCAAGGCTTCCTTCGATTTATTCTGCAGTTTTAATATTTGTAAATATAAATGAACTTCTTGTTCCGATTCCAATTTATTCTCTTGAATCATTTTATCTACCATACGTTGAGCCAATGATAAATAAATTTGACGCTTTGTAAGATTTTGACATTCTGGACCTCGTGTACCCTGTAAGGTGAAAACATTTCTTTTATAATATTTATATATTATAAAAAAAAAAATAAAAAAATAAAAAAAATTATAAAAATTTAATTTATTCACCTGTAAAACAACACTCATTACAGCCCAAAAATAATAGGCATTCTTTGGATGGGCCTTATAAAGTTGTAAAGCCACCGATTGTTGCGATTTAAAATCTTCCAAACGAACATGAGAAATGAATAAATGAGCCAATAATTCTTCATTGGCAGGTTGTTGCTTAACAGCGTGATTGTAAAGCTCGACAATTTTGTCCACTTTAAAGGATAAGATTAAACCAATTTTATTAAAATTCGAAAGAAATAAATAACTGATAAAATACTTTTCTTCATAATTCAACGAGAAACTCTTTCCTGCTAAAGCAGCTCAACTCGATTAATTTGCATAAATTCATATTTTCGTTGCAATTAAATAAAATACTTTTTATAATTTTTTTTCTTTTTCATTTTTAAACCAAAATACACGCAACTCTTTTTTTACACGGTTTTTTTTGTGCGGTGTTAAAAGAACATGATTCCACAATAGGAGAAAATACACTTTTCTTTTACATAGACTTACGCGAAAAAAAGTTTGTTGTTTACTTTTGATTTTGAAGTGCCTTACAGGAACCTATGTGCCCAGGGATTAAATATAATCGGTTTATGCCCACAATTGTTTTAGTGATTTGGTTAACTACTAACGAGCGAGCTTTTTCATTTAAATCAAACCCGACCCTTATGCTAAACATATCCGACATACCTACTGATGAAAGCATTTTTTACAAAGTTTGTTCAATGACACTTTTTTTGTACGGTTTTTAGGAAAATATGTAGAGTTATTTCATCTTACACGATTTTTTAGTATTGCGGGATGTATTCGCAAATTTAGCATACGTCGAGTGTATTTTTTTTTGCACGATTTCCTAAGGACCGCATCGATCGGGCAAAAAAAGAGTTGAGTGTATTTGACAAATATCTTCTCTTATGCATTTTAATTGTTTGTTAGAAAAATGACAGCTGTGTGTGGTTGACGAGGCGCTTAAAAGTGTACCACTTTTTCATATGAATATAAAAATATTGCATAAATTTCTTTTCATTAATTACCCACACGTACATTGCTCCAATTCTTTGTAACAAAATGATAGCACTTGTAGTGTAGCATCATCTGCCGGCTTTTCATTAGCTACCGCTTGCAAAAACCCATCACTTTCTTCATATCGTCCCAGACGTAACAGCGCCAAACCCTTAAGTGCTTTAATGCATAATAAATTCGGATGTTTCTTCAGTAATTTCTCAGTCTCTTGCAACGCCTTACGATTATTGCCGACCTCCAAGTTATCTAAAAAAGAAAAAGCCAAAAACAAGAAAAAGTATTTAAATCAAATTAAATATAATTTCTTTTTCTTTTTTGACTGACTAGACCACCGCACAAACTAGAGAAAATAATTAATGAAATATTCGCAATTAAAAATTAATTGTCAAATTGATGTATTTTGTTGATTAAGGCAATTAATTAAATTTACGGCTAAATCATAAATCATAAAAGAGGGGCACGTCGCAACAGTGAATTTTAATGTGAATTTCGGACACCCATTATTCCAATCAAATCACGTAAATTCGCTCTAAGCAGATCCATTACTTCGCGAACGCCCACGTCCAATATCGGGAATATATTTATACTGATGAATATTCCTTTTGCATTTTCAAGATGAGATAATTGAAGGATTTCCTAATAATATTTAATTTAAAGAATTTTATGAAAATAATCGGGAAATTTCTTAGGGAAAAGCAAACAAAACCCCTCTTCTCAAGTTCCATTTAAAAAGACAAATGGTAACCGGTTTTTTTTTATAATCTACACAACTTGCGTTATAAGGATATATTAAATTTATGCGAATGTGTTCACCGATCGATGCAAAGTCACTTGTTGAATCGATCTACGCTTCTCTGTTCGTCCGTCCGCATTACATTATTATTGTATAATTTGTCTAATAATTATTATTCTATAATTCGTATTGCCATTAAGCTAAAGTAAACTAAAAATGATTTGAATCGAACAGATCTAAACTTGTCTGTCCGTCTGTCCTGATCATTTATATTTAAGTTAGAGATAGCAATTTTTGAGATATTTTGGTGAGATTTGCTATATCGACCCCACGACGACAGCTATTCAAAATAATTCGGATCCAGTCGCTCAAAGCGTGCCCATCCGTCTGAACTCCTGTATTCTTATACGCAGCAATTTTTGACATATTTTGATGAAATTTAATACACCGACATGTTTCGGTCAAAAGCTTACGGCTACTCAAAGTGATTTGGGTGAAATCGCTCTAAGCTTGTCTTTACAACATCACGTTCCGCATTGGCTAGATGCTCATCAACTTAAAGGAGTTTACTAACTGACTAAGGCCACAAAAAAAGAGCATATACGCGGGCCGATTACATTGTAGATCTCAAGCAGTTTTGTTTTGTAAAATGTTTTTTTTATATATTCTTAATGCCAATTGTGCATATGTTCTTTGTAATGATTTTACGAATATTATTTTAACTAAAAAATAACTGTAAAATAAAGTGAAATTGAAAAGCTTACCTTACAAAACTGCGGTTTTTAGGTATTTATGCGTTACCTTCAAAAGAAAAAAAAAAAAAAAAAAAAAACAGGTAAGAACATTATACCCGGGCAAGGCCGACCATAATATACCCTACACCACATTATCTAACACAATTCTATTTTTGGCATGAAATTACTGTTATGGGTCAAATAAACAAAAATTAGATCTTTTCGTCGTACGAAATTCAGGTTTCTTTATATGAGACGGGGTTCAAAGTGTTGCCCCAGTCGTTCCAATTGTCAAAATACTGCTACTTAGCCACTTAGAAATTTTGAAAATTGCAAATATTTACTACTTTTCCGAATAGGGCGTTACAGAAGCAGCGATAAAAATATCTCAAAAATTGCGACTTGTTACTTGAACACAAATTTACATGGACAGACGTCAGATGGACAGGCGGGTTTACGGGCTTAGATTAATTCAGATTATGATTACGAATCGATCGGTATGATAAGACATGATTCTATCTTAATCCTTTCTGCGTGTTAAGTACGGCCGTCTAACTGAACCCATAAGTGGTATAAGGCTTCTAGCTTAACCTTGTTAAATTGCGAAGAGTAAAGAGAAAAACAAGTATTTGGAATAAGTTTACCATGAAAACCATTGTTCCGAAAATGCTGAGCAACAACTTGCACGTTATACAGTAATCGACGATGCTACGCTATTGCAGCCATTTGTGGGGATCTATATCTATGTACTTGCGAAACAAGGAAGTCGTCAGCCAGGCAATGCCAGTGAGAAATCAATGAGAAGTCCAAAAAATGCGCCCACAGATCCGACAAATGTATCGCTAAGTCTAAAACAGTGCCCTTAAGTTCCAAAAATGTACCCAGATTTCCAGTAAAACTACTCCTACAACAAATAAAAGCACTCCTAGAATAAATAAAAGTACCTTAAGTCCAATAAAAGCAAATAAAAATAGCCCTAAGTTCTAAACATGTGCCCCTAAGAACAAAACGGTATTCCTCAGTTCTAAAAAAATACAAGCAGAACCCTAAGGCAAACAAAGTAGTGAAGTATAAAAAAGTACCCATACGTCGAGTAGGAGAACCCCTAGGTTAAATAAAAGAATCCCTAAGTGCAACAATGTACGCTTAAGCCCTAAAAAAGAGACTTGCAACGACTAATCCGATGCATAAATTCATTCGTTGCTGTTAACATAAAACCTGAATTCAATTCGTCTGGGAAGAACATATTTAACGCTATATAATTTTTCAATCGTATCGATCAGGTACCTAAGACTAAGAATAATAATATATTACTATTTACCAATCAGTAGAAGATTAGACAGATTGACGCCAGATATTGGCCGTAATTCTTCTAAGCCTCTCCAAAGAGATTTCCAATACGGGAAATGTAGCAGACATTCCCGTTAAGACGAAACAAACAAGCAAAAGGCATTACGAAGCACCACAACCGTATTTTTATAAAATATCAGCTTATGGAAAACTCGGGAGGAACTACCCGAAAGCGAAATCCCTCACAATGCATTATACGCAGGATCAACGAACTTAAGCTTAAAAAGAAAAAAAAAGGTATCGTTTGTCGATTACGGAGAACGTCTCCAAGAATGTGCTTAATAAAACGTTCAAGAAACCGGAGAAATACGATAATATTTCTGAGACAGACAACATATTCAAAACCTCCGCATAGCCAAGCAAAGCAACTGCCGTAACTGTGGATATCACCATAACTATTAAAGATGATATTTTAGTTACAAATCGTCGTCTTTGTTGAGTTCGGTAGCCAAAAGACACTCGTGAGATTCACCAATTCGCGTCACGCTTAAATAGGTAAAATGGCGAGCACCAAGAAGATAGTCGCTATTAGCAAAGTTAATGACATAACTAACACTCCAAACTTCTTCTCTAGAGGTTCTAGAGGATAGCCTTCCTGCCGTACAAAAACGAAAATAATCAAACAAAAGCTTGGATGGAAGTTTCGCTTCCCTGAGACTAGAACACGTTACTTAATACGTCGAAGCTGACTTAACACTTATTCTACGAAAGTAGAGCACCAAGGCGATTGCTACATCTTAACAGATATCCCTTCTACTAAGTGAACGATAAGCAAAAAATGCTACTGTGATCCACGATTATGACGATGGAAAAGAAAAGGCCGCGGACGACCTTATGTCTGAATTGACAAGTGAATCCTAATAAGTAACCCGCCGCACTGGCAACACAGATTTCATAACAAATAGCACTAATAGCAAAGACAGAATAAGCGTCAAAAACGAGCGGATTATGTTTTTATTTCTGCGCGGTTTAAAAAAAAAATTATTTTTAGCATGTTTTTGGAATCAAACTTGTGCACATACACTTTTCAATTTTTATAATGTAAATATATTGAACAAAAAAAATAAAACAATATAATAAAATCCCAATCCTCAACAATATTAATTTCAAGTTTTAAGACTTTTACTACAAGATATTTCTGAGATCTTTTTTATTTAAGAACTTCAAGGTATATGAAGAATATAGAAAAGTTATTTGCTATCATATTATTAATAAATTAAAAAAATCCTTTTTTTTTTTCTTTTCTATTTTTAAATAGTACATATATGTGTATATGCTGTCGTCGTTATACTGGAAATAATTGATTTTATTGCTTACCATATATAGGTCGTAAACGTCTTTCAAAGACGGCCGGGTCTTGCACGTGTTGTGACATTACTTATATATATCACAATTGAATTTTTCTTTTTTTTGAATGTTTGTAGATGTATGAAAATATATTATCGAAGAACAGCAAAATTTCCACTTTCTTTAAGATATACACATAAGAATACGCGGCAATATTTCGTACCACCCTTACCGATTATTCTTTCTGTTTTTTTTCTTCTTTTTTTGACGTATTTTATCACTGGCTGCTTAACTCGAAAAGTGCAGCTGGATATGAACTGCAACAACAACAGGCATGAAATAGTTCATTCAATTTTTTATTTTATAAAAATAAATTGGGGAAAAATTCACAAAGAGCACCTAAATTTCTGAAATATTTATGATACCGGGGAGCAGCAGTTAACTGTATTCAGGGGATTGGATTCAGGGGTCATAAGGTAAGGTTATGTTGATTTGGTTACATACACATTAATGCTTGCAGTCATATTTATATTAAACTTTTAATTGATATTCAATGTACGAAAGGATTTTGCTAAATTTTTTCTTTTTATATATATTCTATTGAACTAATTTTGAAAATATTTTACTTTATTTTTTGTAGTTTTCTGTGGCAATTAGCAAAAAAAATTTTTTTTTGCTACCGCTCGGTCTATCACACACGTTACACGGTTTTACGTTAATTGTACACTTTCCAAATTTATCGTTTAATTTTTATTTACTAATTTATCCTTTTTCCTAAGAATTTTCTATCAATATATGCATTAAAACATTTTTAAAAAACCACAGTTTACAAAACGAAATTAATAAAAATTTCTTCCGCACACACACACACCAGTTCACATTTACAATAAGTGATGTCAATTTGGCGGTTTTTAATAATATGCCGTACAGCATCCCTTTCGGTAAGTAAATACAAAACCGTCTTTCCATTTCAATCCGTGTTATTGAAATATTGCAGAAATAATTATTTATTATTGTATTCTTCTTATATTAATTAGTATTTTTTTATGTAGTAAAATTTGATAATTTTCTCTTGTTTTTTCTTTCCCCTTAAAAGGGGAAAATTACGATAAAAGAGCGCATATTCCAAATTATCAAAGGTAAATGAAGAGTTACGATAAGCGTCGTATTTTTGTTTTTAATTTTTTGCATTGTTTTTTTTTTTTAATTTTCCCTTGCTCTTGCTATTCACGAATTGATAAGTTTTTTGCATATTTTGTACATATGATTTTGGCAGTTGTCACATTACATGTTAACAATTATATTTGTTACATTAGTAGTACGTAGTAGTTGCCATTCGTACCCTATGTAGTAGTTGCCACTAGTAGCTTTGCACGTGCTATTGTTTACATTTCAAAAGTAGTATTCTATGTGCTTGTTTTATGAATTATGATCAAAATATAATCTACATACCTTCAACTTGCATGAATTATGTTCAAAATAAAATTATTTTGATTTAAGTAAACTATTGAAAAACGTTCTTGTACTTGTTGTTGACAAATTAACTTATGGCAATTTCTTGATTTTTTTTATCTGCAACTACGATAATAATATATAACAACATGCAAATAAATAAGAAAAATAGCCAAAAAGTGGCAACGCATTCGTCATGAGCTCTGTTAAATGGCAAAGCAGTCGTGGAGTTCGCTGTTAAATTGCAAAGCCGTCGACATATGAATCTGTTAAAGCAATGTAAAATGTTCAAAAAAAACTGTTGTAACGTCAAATCTACAAGCAAACGAATTGGCAATTGATAACAAACAGTAGCAACAGTAGTAAAAGAAAGCATATATATATGTATGTATACAAATGAAGCATAAATAAAGTATATTGTTGCTTATCTTTCTTTTTTTAACTTTATTGAAAAGGTTTGGTAAAATATGGAAAAATCCAACGGCAGGTTTTTAAAAATTTACAAATACTAGTTAGAATACGCTTAAGGGAAAATAAATTCTGTTTTCTTATACAATTAAAGAGTTTTGGTTTATTCGGATCTTATTGGTGAACTTAACTGATACGATTAAATGTTATGTTAAAAACATGTCTATGGACTTATCCTGACAAAGCCTTTAATTCCATGAACCATTCTGCATCCATATGCATTTGCACCTAACTGGCAGATTTTAGCTCACTGATATTAATGGCAACTATTATGGAATTCTTCTTTTATTGTCCGGGCTGCCATAGCTCCACTGAGGTCCTCTTCTTTGCTTCTAATGCATACTACTGGTAGTAGTAATTCTGATGTCCTTCAGTCGAATATCAAGAATAGTCTTAGGTTTCTTTTGGAATGGTTATCGATTAACTCCTTACCTATCATGCTTTTCGGTAATGTGAATTATTATCCTCACCAAAATGATATCCTTATAGCTATTGTTTCTTAACTGCTTGGACGTATTTTTTGACCATCGCGTCAACTTTGAGAACCATAACGATTTCATGAACTAGCCTACGCCCTCCTAATGCCGCAGATCCTTTATAACTTAGAAGTAGTGCCTGGTACTACGATCTATGTGTTGCATTCCTGAACATCTTTTTTAGGGCTAAATTCGGGTAATTATGTTCCACATTTTCCTTTACTCGCTCTACCAGGATTTCGCATATTATCATTCCCAGAATTAGACGCAGGTGCTGCGAGTGGTCCTTTCTAGGCTCGAGTTGCGCGATACTGGAATTATTTGACCTATATATATATTTTCCATTCTAATAATAACAAAAATACATTTTGGATTAAACACCTTTTAGATTTCGGCTCTAATAAGTGGGACACTCGTTACGAACTCCATACAATCTCCAACCCATAAGTCCATGAGTTCCTCCGATTATCACTCCATTCAAACAATAATTCTGTCTTTTTTTTCTTTTTAATTGCTATTATATTGGGGCGTTCTCTGAAATCTTTGTTGTTTGTTCTTTTCCTTTCATTTATTTTCTATGCGGCTGTGTAGATAATTTGTAATATGTAATTCGTATTTGCATTTTGTTTCTCGCAGCTTCTTATTCATAAATTTGGCAGTTATAATATATATTTAAAAAAATAATCTTTATATTTATTTGGTACTTATATTTTGCATCCATTCCGTCCTTAAGGGCTCTTGAATATCTAAAATCCATTGATTATCGAAATCGCAAGCAACCAAAATGTTAAATATCGTTTAGACCATATTTTTTGGAATTGCAATTATCAATAATAATTGGCTTTTACGTGAATTAATTTTATATTTCAATCGAAAATGTAGAAGACAACAGAAAATATTAAAATTCGAACTAAACTTAAAAACCTAACTAAAATGAACAATTTTGTTTAATAACATCTGTTTTCAACAGATGTCACAGTTTGAAAAGTACTGCTTTTAAGAAGTTTAATCTTATATTACAGGAAAATCGTAGATAGGATGAGGACTAAATCCCTAGAAGCGGATAGTGCGACGTTAAAAGCAGAAACATCGAAAGGGATCAGATTCTTTGGTAATTGATTGCCAAGTAAATTTTGGAAGCACGTTTTTTGCAGCAAAATTTTCAATATAATTTACTATTCCTACTGCCGTTCCTGTCAAAAATTTTATTTATTTATTTTTTTTTACGAGTTTTCGTGCGTGTTGCTATTTGTTTACCTTTTTTGGAATAATTAGTATTTTGCTTTCCAAATTTAATTGGATAAAGTGCGTCCCGTGTACTGTTGAGATTTATTATCGTTTAATTCTGAGTGAGATTTGCGAACCAATCAACAAAAAAAAAAACACGTCGTGTAAAGTCAGCGTTGCTGTTGTTGCTCGTGGGAAGGCTTGCAATGAAATGAATGGGTCGTGGTCGTGGTTAAATGCTTTGATTGGCAGTGTTATTAATAAAACAATTTACACCTGTGGCACGGCTACGTTGCAAATATACGACGCCTATAATCAGCATCGTTTAAAGTATTTTGGAGAAGCAAGTATTGTAAGCATCTTGCAAGCTTTTATTACTATAGTACATCCGGTTAGTCTATATACGCGATTGGTAAGCATTTCATCGGAAGCCCTGGAGCACTTGGTTTACGCCAGTTTGGTATACTTGCTAGTATGCCTGATCATATACTCGGTGATCAGTCGTTCGAAAACACTTCGTAGTACTCGTTTACCTTGGCTATCAACGAGGAAACGCATACTATTCGTTACATCACATCCGGATGATGAGTGCATGTTTTTTGGCCCTTTAATTTATACACTAACAGCTTATACAGATTGTATTGTGTATATACTTTGCCTGTCGAATGGTAAGTTGAAAACATGAAAAGACTTTCTCCACAAAAGCAAAAACGAAAGAAGAAAGCATAATTTAATTATAATTTGAATTGTTCGCACGTAGGCAATTATGAAAATCTGTCATGTAAGAGGCGCGAAGAATTGTGGTCGGCTTGCCAAAATTTGGGTATACCAGAAGCTAATATAATACTAGTCAATGCAACCAATTTGCCAGATGATCCAAATGTTGAATGGAGAACGGAAACGGTAGCCAATTTCATGTTGCACACGGTCGAAACGTTAGGCATACAGGCTTTAGTTACTTTTGATCGTGAAGGCGTTAGCCAGCATCCAAATCATTGTGCGGTGTATTATGCAGCTGCCTCCCTATGTCTAACTAATCTATTACCGAAAGGTGAGTGAGTAATCAGTAGCAATATGTACGGATAAACGTTGTGTTCTTGTGCAAGAGCAAAAAGGCAATGCCATATTTAGTTGAGCGCAGGCAGAAAAGGCGCATGGGATTTGTCGAATGTAAAGCTTAAACTTTAACTGTCGCTTGATATGACGGTAACGAGTCCAGAAGAATTCAAATGTTTCCTTCATTCTCACGAGCACGAATTCACAAAATCCGTCCATAAAAGACAAGTTTTCATTGGTTACACATTGATCTGCTTCTTTTTTTTTTTGCAAATTTTCCAAGCGTTCGCCTTTAATCGGATTTAATTCCAAAAGAAGAAAGTGCTTAAAAACACGATTTCAAATGCGATACGCTGCGTTCAACCATTAAGAACAATTTCGTTATTCTAAATCAGGATTCAGATAAATATTAAAAGATTTAATTCAGTTCAGATCGAAAATAAATTCTCATTTATTTCTTAATAGATTGCTGAGCTTTTCGCTTTTATGTATGCGGGGTTACGATTGCTTAAATTGCTCGGGACTGTTTATATTAAATATTGCATCCTTTACAGATTGTAAACTTTATGCCTTGGACTCCATAAATATTGTGCGAAAGTATTTATCTATATTTGATATCATGTGTACTTGTGTTATGTCCAAATATTGGTAAGTAATTAATTTACTATTCTCAGTCTCGTTTTTCGTCATTTTTTTCAATCTCTTTGTTTTAGGTGCTTATTAAATTGGCAACAAGCAGCCGTGGTCCGGAATGCCATGCGTCAGCATAAAACCCAAATGAAATGGTTTCGTTGCCTTTATATATTTTGCTCTCGCTATATGTTTATCAATTCGATACGTGAAGTCAATTTGGCCGATATCGAATTGGAGATGCAAATTCAGGAAACCTAAGTGTGTCGATTGGAAGAAGCAATTCTCAAACAAATGAAATAAAAGAGCAATCCATGTCTGTTCAGAAAAATGATAATTAATAATCGTGAACGCCGTAATACCAAATATTATAAATTCAAGTGTGTTTAGTTGCAAAATTGCACGTCCAATTCAATTTGGAAAATGGGAAGCGGGAAGCGGGAAGTGGCGAAGCAAACAAGCAGCTAAATAACAGACGTTAAAGAGACGATTCTACTGAAAACACATACAAAACAAACAACAACAAACAAAAAAAAAAACCATGACGCTTTATTTTTTTATTTTAATTATTTGTTAATATGTACATATATACGTAGATAATGCATATGTTTCCTGATTTTTTTTCCTTTTCCTCTTTCGTGAATTTATCATTTCAGGTTTAGCTTGTAATATGATGATGAGCTTTTAGACGAAGGCGAAAACTGTATTCAGATATTTGTATATAATAATAACTTAAGTCGACGATGGCTACATATCCGATATCTGATATTGATAAGAATTCTTATCGTTTTTTGTCCACAGTATCAGAAACAAAAGAAAGAAAACTCTCATGGTGCAGAGATTGATCTCGAACCCATCGAGAAAACTATCCATTTTCATAGCTTTCTGTCGTAATGTTTTTGTTTTTGTTATATTTGTATTATAATGCACGTTTTTTTTATATGTACACTCGCCTCCTTAGTTATAATCTTTTAATAATATTATATTATTATTATCACAGTTGTCTCCTTTAGCTTAAAGCTAAAAATGCAATAAATAGAATACAATTTTTAAGATATTTTTCCTTGTGTAAGAGCAGCGAAGTCAAGATTTCCTTTATACTCTCGTATATTACTTTTTATATACAAAATAATATAAAAAGATTTTAAACAAAAAAAGAACAAACAAACAAAATGTTTTCATTTCTTTATTTATTAATATTTAAAAAGTGATTCATAATATAAAATAAGGCGGCTTTGTATTGCGCCAGCACTGTAGAAAAAAACTTAATTAAATGCATCGTAACTCCATTCACAGGATCGAAGGCGTTCCTTAGGACACCGTGCAAAAAAAATCGTGTAAAAAAATACAAGCGACATATGGTAAATTTAGGAATTTACAAAACAAAAAACAATTAATTTTTCCAATTTGTCCATAAGTATGTGTGGGCATAACCCGCCGACTGGCTTGTAATCACGGTATCCCCCCATTTGTAATGTGCTCTGTAAGGGATTGTCAACATTAGAATGAAAAACTTTTTTTTTTTTGGGATTAGTGTCAGAACAAAAAATTCATGTAATAAATTGTGCTTGTTGTTATCGTGTCATTTGAAAATAAGGTAAAAAAAAATTGCCTGTACATTCGAAGAATTCATTAATATGAGCTAAATACAACGGAATTCTCTTCTTTCAAACTAGCTTGTTGCAGATATACTCTCAGACATAGATTATAGACACAAGGTCGATATTTTGTTTCCTTTTCTTTCTTCTATCTTTTTTTGAGTGATTAGCTCATAATAAGTCAGCATAAGTCTGCCTAAATTTTAACCTGTATCATCCTATTAAATGACATTTTTCGCCTTATATTAATTGTCATAACTAAAGAAAGGCATTTTATTGAACTCTTCGTATATTTAACAGATTTTACGGAAGTTTTAACAGATTTGACAGATTTCACTGAGCTTTTAACATTTTTAAAAGCATATGCTGACTGGCCATTTTCTGTTAACGGATTAGCTATTTTGTGTTATAACGGTCAATCTGTAAGAAACCTACAAAAACTCTGTTAAAGAAGTAAACAAAAAACAAAAAGAAGAAGAAAAAAGGTAAAGAAGTAAAAAGGCAGATTTTTGTTTTATTTCCGCCAGGTTTAAGAGAAAAAAATCAAAAAGTAAGCAGAATGTGGAACATGCGGAATGCGGAGCTCGATCGAATATGGAATTAAGTGACTAAATTCCGTACGGGTCTTTCGATTTTCCAATGGCCAATCTTCCATCGTACTTCTTTCTAGTCTAAAAGGATATCGTTTAGTCCTTTGTTCTTTTCTTGAGTGAGTATCAGGGACCACACTATTCGGTGAATTGTTATGAAGTACCATCATGCAAGAGCGAGTTCAACCCTTGTATTCGTAAAACTCATTGTCCAGAATTCATCTATCAAATTAATCGGAATCGTATATATTTCATACTTTAATTTATTTAATTGTATTTATCGTGGCATTTAAAAAATGAGAGTATATAGTAAACGACCAAACTTCCAAGGCATCGAGTTCTGAAGCTGTGGTAAGAGTTTCCAGCTTAGGTAACTTTTTGATTACCTCTAAAGCTTTCTGTGGATTACACTGGGCATAGGCTATAACCATTTGAGTCAAAACTCCCACATTATGAGGATTTAATTTGAGTGACCAGGGTTGACACTCTCCCGGGTTTATATTTGGCCTCGCCCAAAGATGATAAAATATCTATAGGTTCCTTATGGGTACCTTGAACAAGCAAAAATTGGACGGTAACGAATTTGCTGGCAAACGCTTCTTATTTATTCGCAGTACTACCTGCTTGCTTGTGAAGCAATTCTACGGTCTCTTTTTGCTTCTTATCCTTGATAAATTGAACTGCTCTGATAAGTAGAGACTGAAAACCCAGGATACTGGATACTGTTCCGCTAACTTCGTGGATCGCAGTTTTTCACTGCAATGGCCGCTTCATCGTACAGCGGTCCCTCGTATAACATTTCCATACGGTATTTTTGAGCAACTACAGGAGACGGCAAATGTGTAGCAATCATTTGATGCAAAGCTTCGCCCGCAGGCAACAAGTTCGCATGATAACCATTAACAAAGCTTTACCATCTTTGTCTTTGTCTTCGTGTTTTAAGGCTACACCAATTTTTTCTAATAAAGTTGGTATTTCTTCTTTTGTGTAATTCATGATTGCATCGAATACTTTATAGATCGGATCCAAAATATACATGCAGAACGAACGTTTATTATCCGCTTCTTTTTGTTTTTGCCACTTTTGGTCTTGGCATTGAAGAAATTTTCGCCCCACAAACTTTAAGAAATTATTGTTATTGAATTCTCAGCATAAGTAGATTCGACATTAAGAAAGAGGTCACCGCTCAGCGTTACAAAAACGATGACAGAGAATGCGACAAAAAAAATCGCATTCAGTTTTCATCTGCTTTTATATGCACTTACTGTTCGATCATGAAGCGCAGCAAGCTCAAGAAACAATGAGACTTCGACGCTCTATGATCATGATATAAGTATACTCATCGATTCATTAATTTAACAACGTCAATCTTAAATTTCTCAGCATACATTTCCGCAAATTGTTTGAGAGTAAAAGTCCAGCCATGCAAACCGGAACCAAAATCCAACTGACCCCTTCGAAGGATCAACATGCACCTCACCCATTGGACCGCCGTCGTCATTGTATGTGGCAATAATGACGTTAACATTTTCTACAATACGTTGGAAAGTTTGATACAATTCTTCGGCATTCAACTGCAATTCTAACAAGGCACGGTCCATCTTATTCATAAACAATATGGCCTTAATACGTTCAGCAATGGCTTGACGCAACACAGTTTCTGTTTGAACACACACACCAGAGACACAATCGACCACAACCAAAGTACCGTCGGTTACGCGCAAAGCAGCTGTTACTTCCGAAGAAAAATCAACATGACCAGGTGAATCAATCAAATTGATTAAGAAACCCTTGCAGTCTTTTTCGCGTTGGTCGGCATTAGTAATGAATACCAAATCTTTGTCTTCGACTTCAAAATACATGGAAATTGCGCTCTAAACGATATTTTAGAATTGAATACATGTATGTATGTGACACACGGCACACAGCACTTACGTAGACTTAATTGTAATGCAACGTTCCTGTTCATCCTTGCGAGTGTCAGTAAAACGTGTTTCACCGGCTTTGGCCCCGGCTATAATATCAGCCTTGGAAACCTTAAAAACCATATATTAGTTTAGTGTAAATTCCCAAAGTTTGTATTTCTTAAACTTACCAAAGACTCGGTTAAAGTCGATTTTCCATGATCGATATGAGCAATGACGGACATGTTACGGATATTCCGCTTTTTGTCCATCAATCCACGGATTTCATCAACTGTAAAGTTAACCTACGCATATCAAACGAAAAGAAACTCCAAGTTAGGTGGCTTTTGAAAATTGGAAAACCATAATTTTCTCGCTTTTTCTATCTACATGCATTTATACCTATAGACTATAACTGATAATCAAAGACCCATTTTCTTAAAGAGTTAGTCTTTAAAATCAAAATGCACACGTCATTACACTGCATTTGTTGTAAGTCTCCTTGACATTATCACTTGTCAGTTGCGAAATTTTCTGTTTTGGATTTTTCTGCTGGACGTTTTTTTTGCCATCCACTTTACGTTTTGGAGTTGCCCCACCTGCTGCCTGTATCACTTTGAAAAAACTATCTAAACGTCCTTGAGTTGGACTTGACTTGTATTTAAGAATTTTCTTTGCCCCCCCGGAACGCATACGATCTTCGTTAAATTGACGATCACCGCAAAGAAACTGCACTAAACCATCCACATCAGGCTTGGACCACCTGAGCTAAAAAGAAGATATCAAAAAAATTACTTTTATTGAAATGCTGGTAGGCTTGGTTTTACTTTTAGCGACGAAGGGTCGGCTACTTCTGGATTTACAAATAATTCTCAAGCAATTTGATAATTCCAATCTTCTGGCACAGTATACTTTTTGCGATCAATTTTCTCCAAAATATTTTCAATATCTTTATAAGAATTCATCAACTCTGTGGCTCTTTTGGGCCCCATGCCACGAATGCCATCACAGTAATCACACCCCAAAAGAATACATAAGTCAATGAATTCCCGACTGGTTAATCCGAAACCATCTAATACTTTTGCATAACTGAATTCCTTAACTGGCATTTTACGAGCCTTACTAAACGTGAAATGTCTTAATAAAATCCGTTAGAGCGTCCATATCCTCTGTTGCAAGAGGAGCCTCCACATAAGAAACTCCCATAAGTTTTAACAGCTCTTTGTACTGATAGGAAGCTAATAAAAAATTTATATGCGGCATTATTTAAATTATTTATCCAGTTTATTGCTAAAAATTTTACAATCGAAAATAAAATTATTCAATTGCTTTTTAATGTCTATTTGAAAACATGTTCGCGTGTTCATTGTGTAAACTAAGAATTAATATGTGGTAATGAACAAACGATAGTGATTTTATACAAAAATAAGAGTGGTGTTAAACTATGTGGTGTAGGGTATTGAAAAGTTGGCCTCGCTCGATTATAATATTCTTGCTAGTTTTTAGCTTACATTTCTTCTTTAATACGTTGATCGGTAAGGGCTTTTGTCAAGGCCATGTTTTGTTCGTGCGATTTAATCACACTTTCTTCGGTGGCCAACTTCCAGCGTAAATTGATTCTTTGACTTTTGAGTTGTTGTTTAAACTCTATAGGCAGAGGAAAAAAAAAATTCTAATTAATTAATTTTGCGCAAATTTGCTAAGATTAAGTAATAAATACTTTCAATGTTCTTTTTGAATTTTTCATTCTCGTGAAAAATCTCATGAATCTTTTTTTCCTTCTTTAATTCCTCTACAGCCGACTTATTGACACGTTGTTCGGTTATCCAACGGAGCAACTTGACAGCTTTCAGCAATGAGACATCATTGGCGTCCAATTCATCCATCCAACCCGGTAATAACTCCAAAATATTTGTATTTATGTGAAAAAAATCGATGATATTTTTAGCCCATAGTTAAGATAGCTTGAAGTTCCCTCCTGGCCGTCTTGATTCAAGTTGTTGTGAATAGATAAATTATTCCATTTGCGTATATGTATATATATATGTATTACGTTTATCTTACCCTTTCATTTATTAATTTCAAACAATGATTTATGTAAATTAAAAGAATATTTAAAAAATAATCTTTTTAACTCAACCTTTATCCTTCCGGGAGATGGATGGCGGAAGAACTATTTTTAGCTGTTTAGATTCGTATGTTCACTTGACTGTATCCCTACATGCCTCGATTATTTTCATGTGTTTATATTTCGGGCTTACCTTTCCTTGTTGTTGCTGCAATAACTGACTTCCATTCGTTTAGACTTTGAAATAAGACCTTCCTTTCGATTAACACCATTCATTTGCTCGTCTGCTTGTATGTCGTGACCGATTTCAATAATGCCTCCCGAGAATCGGATATAATAAAATAATTTTATAATCAAATAATTTTATTCCAACGGCTTACCTGTAAACTAAAAGCGATATACATGGAAACACTGCCAGAAAACATTGTACCAATTGCAACGAAACGACTATCATCACGAAGTCTTCTTCCACAGAATTGCAAAGTAGAAGAATGTGTAGAGCCTGATTTTTACGGTTTTCCGCACCACCCTTGGGGTACCGTGATAGGCGCGTTGCCAATTGTTTTAAATGGCTGGCTCCCCAGTAGGCGTACACCATTATATACATAATTACAAATTACAATATTATTTATAATAATAATAATAATACATAATAATACATAGTAATACGTAATAAATAAAAAAAGGCCTGCTAATACATACGTATATATAAAGAAATAAAAATTACTGGTATGCCGGTGTGCTGACATCTGCAAAAGAAAAATATTGTGATGAATAAATTTTATATACAAAGATGATCACAAACTTACCATTGGCCTACGGAAGTATCCCATTCTGCTGAAACGATGAGTGGAGGTGCAGAAGGAAGCATGCTCTTTGATCTAAAATAAAATAAAAAGAAATGAATAAATAATATATAATAATAAGCAACGATAAATGCAACCTTACCGTTAGCATGTAGCGAATGTTCATCTATATGAGGTGGCGGCTGTATAGGTGGATTTGACTTTGCGAGCGGACCTAAAGCACGACTTCAAAATTATGATACATTTTTAACTCTTTGTTGTACCCAGTTTTTGCCGGTCAGTAGCAAATGTATGATAAAGCCTAGAAGATCTGTTCGGTGACTTCTTCCATTGGGGCAGGAGCCTGTTTGTTTGAAGAAGTCAAGCTGCTTCACTATTGTCGCCTGGGTGCGCCTGCCGATGTTGCGTTCAACCATGTGGGACTTCATTATTGCCAAGTAGATGCTCGTGGCTTCCAAGAAAACATTGAGCACATTAAGCCTCGGAAATTCTGGTTCCAGATGCTTATTAGCCAGGATTTCTTCGTATTCCTGTATTTTGGCGACTACCATGCCATCGGTTTCGGAGCATGCTTCTTCTTTCGTTAGCGTTAGGTCGCTTAGGCATGCTTGACATTTTAGCTGCTTACGGATGTATTGGGCTATTCCATAGCCTATGAGCAGCCCGAAGTATTCCGCCTCGTTAACGGTTAGACGTTTGGCAGCTACTTTGAACGGCACCCCATTCAGGTCGTATGGCAGGAACTCTTCTTCGGCCTGGGCTGGTGTCGTGTAATCCAGCTTTTCAATGAGCTCGTAATCGTCATCAATGGTGGATCCGTCTCCCCAAAATTCGATTTGTTGTTTGGTTAAGCGGATGCTTAGCTTCATAACATCTTCCACGGGTCTTCTTCTCGTTTTTCTGGCTGGCGCCATCTTGCAGAAAAATCTCTCCAAGAGGTCTTGGCTTACCCTGTAGGCGTGTATAGTTATACCAGGGTAAGCCTCCAGCAGGTCATCCATGATCGTCTCGAAGTTGTTGATGGTGTCCAAGGTGGCCTTAGTTATATCAGCCGTCGGGAATTTATTTGTTATACAAGTTTTCGCTTCCAGCAGTATCGCTTTTTGTCGTTCCCATTGGGCGCTGTTTATCTCGCCCGTGTGTATGACTTCGCATAATGCAGTCAGAGCAGCGATAACTTCGTATGTCCTTATATCTTCTTCTTTATGAATAATTTTTCTCCGCACAGCGACGTCCAAGTCTGCCACTGTTGCGGGAGTTAATAGCTGCATACAGTCTTTCAGCGATCGGGCAGCAGTACTGATCAAGCATGCACCTCTTCTCTTTAAATAATTTGAAGTGCTAAGTTTTCCCGCCTGTGCCCTGGTGACGATGGAAGTGTCGAACAGATGGCTCCTTGCCATTTTACAGTAAATTGAATACATCAGATGTATATAGTCGACCAGATGGTATATCGTATGAACGGTGCCGTCCGCTCGCTTTCGTTCATAAATTCCTTTGTTGAACTTTACCACTGTCTGCAGGTTTGCGCTGCTCACGTCGCAGACTACTGCTTTAACTTCCAGGCCGGCCTCCTCTGCGATACCTAAGCATCTCTCTAGTTCATCTGGAGCTCCGTTGTAGGCGGTTATGGCGGTGGCGCTGATCAACATGTTGAAACTTGTCAACAGGCTACGTACACCGAAGAGGAGTACTGTGTGGTATTCTTCCGTTGTTGTAATTTTTTGGGTTTTGTTGTAGCCGCAACCGTACAATATATCCTCGGTCCGAGAATATCTCATATTGCCGTTTGTGTACACTTCGTCGAAGTGTAGCTGAACAACTTTGTCGCGAGGACTTAACCTCCCTACGACCTCCCGCAGCGCCTCGATATTCACTGTGAATTTCAGTTCCCGGCCTTCAGCTGGTTCAACAATTCCGCTATTCTCTGTCTGCGCCTCCACGTTCGCTGCGTTATCAGCTTCTTGCACTTCCTGGCCTTCATTTTGGTCTACAGCGGGATCGAGGAGTCTCGTCTTCTCCTTCCGCACAGCTTCCCCCGATGTGCTTGGTCCCCCGTCGTACATCCGATTATATATACATTTGAAATTATACCTACGTCTATCGGGACTTCTTACGGATAACATTTTTCTCTGAATGTCCGTCCGTTCCTCCGTCTGTACATTCATCTGTTCGTCCGTCTGTACGTCCATTTGTACGTCCGTCTGTACGTCCATTTGTACGTCCGTCTGTACGTTCGTCTGTACGTTTGTGCGTTTTTTGATCCGCTCGGTTTCATCAAAACCCAAGAAGTCCTTTATAACAGAGTAATTATACTCAGAAATACATTCTGGCTCAATCTGTATGATTGACTCAGAAGTTTCTGGTTCAATCT